GCTCCAGACCTAAGCCCATGGAATAGGCCCATTGATTTAAAAAAAAAAAAAAAACACTTACTACTTAATACCTGGCAACCTACTCTTAGGGTTGCCAGGTATTTCTCAGAAGTATTTATCAGGTATTTGAGGTTGCCTAGCCGGTGCCGGTATTGCAGTAAAACCGGCAATACAAATGTCAGTCTCGGTATAAACAGAGAATATTCTGCAATACCAGCGTCAGCCAGTAGGGGTCACGGGTGTGTGGAGAGAGGCAGGAATAAGAAGTTACAGCATCTCTCTCCCTGCTCTACTCACTGATCCGTGGGGAGCAGCTCTGCACAGAGAGTCCAGACAGCAGCTCTGAGCCTGCAGAGACAGTCAACAGCTCAGGTAAGTGTGGAATGGGGGGAAAGGGGAGACATGGAGACACTGTGAGACATGGGGACACAGACACTAGGGGGCACTAAGACACTAGGTGGCACTGGGAGACCTGGGGACACAGACACTAGGGGGAACTGTGAGAGACATAGGGACTCTTGGTGACACTGAGACACTAGGGGGCACTTGGAGACCTGAGGACACTGAGATACTAGGGGAAACATTGAGACATGGGGACGGTGAGAGACTTGGGGACACTAAGACATTAGGGCACTAAGAGACATGGGGACACTGAGACACTATGGGAACATGGGGACCCTGAGACACTAGGGACACAGTGGCTCCTAGTCTCTCAGTTTCCACATGTCTCCCAGCCAGTATCCACATGTCTCTCAGTGTCCCTAGTGGCTATGTCCCTGGTCTCCCAGAGTCCCCTAGTGTTTCAGTGTTCCCATGTCTCATAGTGTCTCTAAGTTTTCGCTAGTGTCCTAGTGGCATGGGGACACTGGGAGACATGGGGATACAAACACTAGGGGACCCTGGGCGACATGGGAACACAGACACTAGGGGACACTGAGATACATGGGGACACTGAGACTTTGAGACCAATGAGACATGAGGCACTCCCAGTGTCCCTATGTCTCCTAGCCAGTGTCCCTAGTATCTCAGTGTCCCCATGTGTCCCTGGTGTCTTTCAGTTTCCATAGTGTGCCAGTGTCCCTAGTGTCTCAGTGTTTCCTAGTCTCCCAAAGTCCCCTAGTCTCCCAGTGTCTCAATGTCTCCCAGTGTCCCCATGTCTCCCAGTGTCTCCTAGCATAAAAGAAAAAAATCTCAGGTACTCACTGTGATAGATTTAAGCAGGTTTATTGGACACCACAACGTTTCGACCTGTACCCAGTTCTTTGAGGAGGAGTAGGAGTGGGGCCAGAGGGACACTATAGTGTTATGAACACAGCTTTGTATTCCTAACACAATATTGTTTCTTTAAGTAAATAGCTTATTTGTAATTTCAGGTTCAATTTGGACATTATTCATAAATTTAACCCTTCAGATGAACGTTCAAAGCTTTGTAACCGCAACAGGCAACCCCCACTAAATTATTACCCAGCTGACCGCTTATCTGCCCGTATGAAACTATATCACCATATTGCCCCTTGTAGAGATAGCTTCAACATTCCATACAGAAATGGAGAATTATCTGGCTAAAGGGGAAACTATACTAAAAGTGAAGAAGGAAAATAATATAAACATTTCAATAGTTTAAAGTTGCAGCTAGCCTCAGTCATTCAATATATGTATAAAGATGACATTAAAGAATACAAAACATTTTTTTTGGTTCATGATTTCTAGTCTATTTCAGCATGACAGGTATTTTAGATTGCAGTGATATTGCATGTAAAGTACTTGTCACATGACGTGAAAAAGCTATAACTGACATTACACTACAGTCACACTGATGTAAACTCAAGTAAATGTTGATTACTCATCAGCAAGATAAATAACAGGCACATGATACAGTCAAAATTGCTACTGAATATGAAATATGAGCAGAAGTGAACTATGGTCAAAGGAGGCATTTTGCTCTAGAATTACATGAGCTGTCATCACATCGATACAAAGAGGTGTTTCTAACTTCCTAATTGGTTTTGACTGGAATGGAAGCCAAAGCTACTTACTGCTAATTTTTTTCACTATTCTTTAAATCAGTTGTGTCAGTTTTCAAAAATAAAACATTCTGCATCTCCAGGCATTTAAAAAAAAAAATTGCTGGACCTTCTCTATGTGCTGATGGAGTACATGGGAGCATAAACATAATTTAACATTTTTTTTTAAAGATAACTTTACAAATATCATATTTTCTCTCTAATAATAAAAGGCTGCTGTGGTTATAGTGCCAGCATATCCCTGACATTGCTTTTCTGGAAATCACATATTAGCATAGACATCTTAAACTCCTAATGGCCTAACGACCAGAGAATCATGGGAACTGAAGTTCAGAAACAAGTGAGGGGCCAGAGTTTGAGATGCCTACATTACTAGTATTAATTTTATCTAAATCTCTGGACGCAATTCACTGGCTTAACATGCCCATGACATTTACTGGATCCACTAAGTGACAGTGTAGAGATTCTAAATATACATATTACATGTACAATGGCATCCACAAAAATAGTTACTTACACAAATTTAATTACATATGCATATAGAGTTAGCCATTCAAATACACGTAATTAGCCACACACATATACATAACTCTCCAGCACTTGCTAAATTCTCTCCTTTAAGTCCTGTACTTTAAAATCAAAGGGGAAGTGATTCTCTACAATGCTACTAATACATCTGGTCGTCCTGGATACAACATCTTCTACTATCATGAGGATGGAACTTATCCTTTTCTCCTTTTTTTCCTCTTTATCTACCTTTTCCTACTCTCTAACAACGAAGTTTGAGTACAACATGTATTTAATTAAGTGAACCTTACACTGATTAGCCACAACATTAACACCACCTGCCTAATATCGTGCCAGTCCCCTCGTGCTGTCAAAACAGCTCTAATGCGTTGAGGCATGGACTTCACAAGACCTCTGAACATGACCTGTGGTATCAAGACATTAGCAGCAAATGCTTTAAGACCAACAAGTTGAGATGTGGGGCCTCCATGGATTGGATTTGTTGTTCCAGCACATCCCACAGATGCTCAATCAAATTGAGATCTGGAGAATTTAGAGGCCAAGTAAATACCTTGAACTCTTTGTCATGTTCCTCAAGACTTGCCTTTATGAAGATGCTCTGACCCAGTTGTCTAGCCGTCATTATTTGCCCATTTTCCTGCTTCCAACACATAAAATTCAAAAACTGACAGTTCACTTGGTAATATATCCCACCCCTTGACAGGGGACATTGTAACAATATCAGTTCACCTGTTAGTGGTTTTAATGTTGTGGCTGATAAGTGTATGTGTTGAATCATATTGCATAGCAAAAGTACAAACTGAGCAACCCAGCAGAGGTCAGATAACCTAACCAATATTGTGTTTGTTTTTGCTTAAATGTTTTACCTCTCTGATTGTAAAACCTTAATAAATTCATAAATAAATAAATTTAAAAAATAAAAAAGGAAGGATGATAAGAAAATAAGACTGGTGTGAAATATTTGGGTTGGACATAAAAAAAAGAAAAGAAAAGTAATGCTTATTCCAAAATGTCATTCATTACATGATTGTGAACATGTAGGAGAATTAGTAAATTGTGTTGTATCAATATAGCAGCTGTGAACCATACAGTTTGCAGGTGAGTATTCCAAGGTTCATTATAAATATGTAATCAATATAACTGCAGTGATTGGTGTAAAACACGTGTTCTACACAATGGCCTTATAAGGAGATCCCTCTACTGCAATCTGAATGATGTAACACTTGAAAGGTAAGCTCAAATGACTTATTCCAGAAGTAGGAGGGATAACACTAAAAGAATAGAGAGGGTGTGCTTTGTCAGCACAGAACAGGCAGTTCGGAAGGAAGAAGCTACATATATGAGATCATTAACTACAACTCATCTTAGTTTAAAACTCGCAAGTATTATATTACATGAGGTCAACTGTATTACAGAGCTTCAATTCCTCTTCAATTGCAGGAATTCTCTAACCCCCAGGAACTGAACAAAAGTCCACAAACTAGGGCAAAAGTTAATTTACTGTCAAGTAACCCCCAGCCGGGCATTCAGTAAACTCCTATGCACTACAAAAGATCATATGGAATCTGAGAAAATATAAAAAAAAATAAAACAAGGTTCTCAGTATCACCACTAAATGGATGGGAGCTAGCAATCCCTTTGACAAGTATGAGGCGGGAGAGGAAGGTTGGAGTGGGCCTGGTGTGGGAATTATGCTAATGACACAATATGATGTGCACAGCTTAAGTGGGCATGTCATTGAGAAACTCATTCATGCCTAGGATAACAGGCTGTCTGGTAAAAGTGGTACAGCAGTGCTGCCCATAAACAGAGTGTTGCTGAAATGCTGTTATTGACTGATTTTGGAATACATTTTTCCAGTGTAACACAGCAAAATTCAGTCTTCACATTCGCATGTGGAAGCCGATAGAAATAATCCTGACAGAGTGAATTTTACATTTTAGATAAAAGTAGCCAAACTGAGAGCATTTTTTTTCCAGTTAGACTATTTTTCCTTAAATTTGAATTCCTGTCAATTCTTACTTTAGTTACTAACCCTGTCAGGATTATTCACTAAAGAAAGAATTCAATGTGAATTTCAAACTTAAGGCCAAAGTAGCTGAATTAGATGGCTAAATTACAGAACTTTTCTTGTTTGGCTATTTTGATCTTACATTTCTCACTTTAGTGTTAGAATCTTTTTAAGCCAGCACTTGAAAAATACTATTAGGAAAGAACTAAAGTATTCTAATTGGCTTATCACTTCCTTGGGACAGAAAAAAAAAATACAGTATCTGTAAAATATGAGAATTAATTGCAAATGCAGAAACTTTAAATTTCAATGTTTTATTTTAGATGTTTGTTTTTGCATATATAATGCTTTAATACATTATTTACATTTTGTTTTATAGAATGTTTTTCCATTTCAGCATGAGGTGCTTCTGTAAATGTTAATGCTGTGTGTCAAATGCGCCACTTTGCTCTAAAATAGATTATTCACTGAATGCACATGCTAAGCCATTGCATCATAATAAAAATGGGTGGGATTGTAATGTACCATGGAAGGGAACACCTCACATAATCTCCAGAGACTGAGACTTCCTCTATATTTTCCATTTTTGCCTGTGGGGAATTGGGCTTGACTGTTATTGTCAGTAGTACAGAATGAATTAATTGATGCAATATGCATTCATTAAACTATTTTATTCACAATTACTTTTAACATCTGCAGCCATATCTGGTAAAGCAGGTTCTCTTTACAGCCAACATCGATAGTTAGTGATGCCTTAGCAACAGGTCTTTGGACCGGTTATCAGAAAGCTTGACAAACTTTTCTTGTGAGCCAAAATCAATTTCTATAAAAGGTGTTAGGAGAAGTCTTGGAAGAGGGGGATGACACCTGCCATGGGACACTCCAGTCCCCTTAACAATTTAATTTAAATGTATTTGTTATGGTGCCAGGAGGCTCTCCGGGTGCACTCATACCTTAAGGGGTTAAACTGTTCTAGCACAGGTTAACCTAGAAGGTTGCCTCCAGTGTGGCATCTGAATCCAAATTAGAGCTGGCGCTCTAAGCCAATCAGTGGCTCCCCATTCATTAAAAGGTACCTTTTGTATATGTATTTGATCCACATGGCTAATTGTGGAAACCTCCTGAACTCTGCTCCCAGCCCTCATCACAGGACCATTGCAACCCACCGAGCATTTGTTCGCTTTGCTGAATGGTCACTCTTGACTTGCCTGAAATTAACTGGATTGCTACTCCCACTAGACTGCATCTCATGGCGTGTCTTACTTATCACTTTGTATAAAATCACTACATGTCAGACTGAGACCAGTGGGAAGGTTTCCCTCCCCTTTTTGTGGCAGAATGTCTATATACGCCCTGTCTGTAACAATGTATACAAACAAATGTGAAAATTTAGTGAAACGTTCTGGATAAGAGCACTATATAAGAATATATTGATTGTGAATTACCACACTAATATTGGCACTCTTGGTAAATATGTCTTTATTGTTTAACCTTTTGTTACAAAAATACACAAAATACTCTGCTCTCATGGATATTAAACAATTGCAGATACAACACAGGTTTAACAAAAAAAAAAGTATTTTTTGTTAAAGATATGTGTAGCACAATAATTGGCACCCTTTTCAATTCATATCAGAAAAATATATTTGAAGTATATGCACATTAATATTTTACATTCTTTAGTACACCTGGGTGATTAAGAACAGGAAATTGTTCAACCATAACTTCCTGTTTCACAGGAGTATAAATGTGAGGTAACACATTGGACAAATTACCGTAGCCATTAATCACAATGCGTAAGACCAAGGAATATAGTGGTGAAGTGCTGCAAAAGGTTGCTGATCTTCACAAAACTGGAAGTGGCTAGAAAATAGCAACAGCATTGAAAATGCCCATTTCTACCATCATGGCAAAAAGTCACCTGGAAATGTTAAGAATTTACCTGGAGGACGTGTTTTTATATTGTATAAACACATCGTGAAGAGGATGGTTCGAGTGACCAAATAATCTCCAAGGATCACAGCTGGACAATTGCACAAGTTAGTTGCTTCTTGGGGGTCAGAAAGTCTCCAAAACTACAATCTGACATTACCCAGACCACCAAAGGTTGTTTGGAAAGATTTTGAAAAAAAAGCCTGTACTCTCACCCAAAAACTCAAGTGTTTTGGTTTGCCAGGCACTACTGGAAAAGAATCAGGTTCGATGGTCCTATAAAACCAAAATAGTTTTTTTTCTTTTTAGCAATTAACTCCAGACATTTTTTGATGCACACAGAGAGGTAGTCATATAGAAAAAGTACCTATTGCCCAAAGTTAAATATGGTGTTGGCTCTCTAATGTTTTGGAGTTGTTTTATATGCCAGAGGACCTGGACATTATGTTAAGATACATGGCATCATGGCCTCTATATCAACAACAGATATTAAATGAACACCTTACTGCCTCTGCCAGAAAGCTTAAAATGGGACGTAGTTGGATCTTCCAGCAGTACAATGATCCACAACATACATCAAGGTCCTGCCATGGCCATCCCATTCCCTTGACTTGAACCCCATGTAAAATGTGTGGGGTGAATTGAAGAGGGGAGTCCACCAGCGTTGACCTCGAAAGGATCTGGAGAGATTCTGTATGAAGGAATGGCCTCAGATGCCTAGCCACATATTCTCCAAGCTCATCAGGCATCATAGGAGAAGACCTCGAACGGTTATCTTGGAAAAAGTGAGGTTGCACAAAGTATTGACTAAAAGGGTGCCAATAATTGTGCGAGACATACACTTTACAAAGATTTTTTTTATATAAACTTGTGTAATGTTTGCAATAGTTTGATATCCATGAGAGCATAGCATTTTGGTGTATTATTTGAATTAAATGTTCAACAATAAAGACACATTTTCACAGCCTTCTTTGCGCATATTTAGTCAAAAGGTGCCAATATTAGTGGAGGGCACTGTATATAATCTAAAGAAATTAGTTAACTCATTAAAAGAGGTTAAAGGAACACTATACTGTCAGGAATACAAACAAGTACTCCTGACAGTATAGGCTTAAAATAGCAGTTTACGTTTCAGGCCCCCCCCAAAAAAATTTACCTAGTCACCATGCAGGCCTCCTTACATCTGGCCACCAAATTTAATGATCTTAGCCAGTCAATGCTTTACCGCTTACCATAGGAAAGCATTGGGAGACGATCACATATGCGTTGCAAAACACGTCGCCAGAGTCTCCCCATAGAGATACAGTGACTCAACGCGGAACCATTTAGTGCTTCTATGCAGAGCGTGGTGATGCTGAATGTAGGTGCCGCACTGACACATCAAGCACTTCTAGTGGCCATCTGAGTGATTGTCTCTAGAGGGGTTACTAAGCAGCAATGTAAACACTGCCTTTTCTCTGAAATGACAGTGTTTACATTAAACAGCGTGCTGGAACTGACTATACTGACCAGATCAGCTACATTAATCTGTAGTGGTTATGATGCTTGTGTTTCTTTAACCACCTAAACCACTTCAGCTTAATGAAGTGGTCTGGGTGCCAGGTCCAGCTAGGGTTAACACTTTTTTTTTTACAAACATAGCAGTTTCAGAGAAACTGCTATGTTTATAAATGGGTTAATCCATCCTCCAAATCCTCTAGTGGCTGTCTCATTGACAGCCGCTAGCGTGATTCTCACTGTGAAAATCACAGTGAGAAGATGCCAGCGTCCATAGGAAAGCATTGATAATCCTTTCCTATGAAACCGGCTGAATGCGCGCGCAACTCCTGCCGCGCGTGCACATTCAGCCGAAGAGGAGGAGAGCTCCCCGCCCAGCGCTGGAAAAAAGGTAAGTGTAACCCCTTTCCTCTCCCCAGAGGCGGGCGGGAGGGGGACCCTGAGGGTGGGGGCACCCTCAGGGCACTATAGTGGTCCTTTAAGGAACAAACTAATGGAATGAAAGGGAATCATGTCATATCACACATCATGTGTCCTTAAGGGGTTAAACATAAGTAGCAGCTGATCTCCATGTTTCTGTAATGGTACAGTTCCCAGGATTGCCTTCTTACCCCTCTCCCAATACTAAGCTCCCCATTAGCAGCACTGCACTCACACACAGCTCCCAAGACACTAGCTCACCTCTGCCCAACCTCTCCTGCAAGCCTGGCGTCACTGGCCACGCCCCCTTCCGGACCCTATCCCCTCCTATCAGCACGCTAGCTGGCCGATGGCGCCGGGGGGCGTGTCTAAATGTGATTGGGCGATACCAACTCCATAACACGACTACCGGGGGGGAGGACAGGCTGACTGTGTGTCCGCTGTAACCTCTCTCCGGGCAGCACTGCCATAAAGGTGTGTGGCGGTAAAGGATAAAGTGACCCGGGATACACCGGCCGCTGCCAGCCGGGCCTCAGTAACCGCGCGCTCCGTGTGTGAGCGGTCAGTGCAGCCAGCCCCCCTCTGTGGGCACGGCCAGCTGGAGAATAGGCGAGTGCCTTCCGTCAGCTGACATCCCCCCAGTGTCCAGCCGGGATTGCATTAGTCCGGATTCCGGGTCGGAGTCGGTAGGTTGGACACGCAGTGCTCGGTAAGTGACCGCGAGCAGCCCCCCCCACCTGTCACGGGGACCATTCCCATCCTAGCAAACCGAGCCCGTCACCCCCCCCCGGGTCCTAGAGCCGCCCACGGCTCACCTTAGACCCAGTATCAGCCTGTGTGTGTTACAGCGAGCTGGGTCCGGCCAGCCTGACACTGAGAGCAATCACTGAAACACTGACTGCCGGCTCTGTGTGTTGGATTACACTAAGTACCCCGTATAGTGTGTTAGAATGCACTAAGTACCCCGTATAGTGTGTTAGAATGCACTAAGTACCCCGTATAGTGTGTTAGAATGCACTAAGTACCCCGTATAGTGTGTTAGAATGCACTAAGTACCCCGTATAGTGTGTTAGAATGCACTAAGTACCCCGTATAGTGTGTTAGAATGCACTAAGTACCCCGTATAGTGTGTTAGAATGCACTAAGTACCCCGTATAGTGTGTTAGAGTGCACTAAGTACCCCGTATAGTGTGTTAGAATACAGTAAGTACCCCATATAGTGTGTTAGAATACAGTAGGTACCCCGTATAGTGTGTTAGAATACAGTAGGTACCCCGTATAGTGTGTTAGAATACAGTAGGTACCCCGTATAGAGTGTTAGAATACAGTAGGTACCCCGTATAGAGTGTTAGAATACAGTAAGTACCCCGTGTAGTGTGTTAGAATACAGTAAGTACCCCGTGTAGTGTGTTAGAATACAGTAAGTACCCCGTGTAGTGTGTTAGAATACAGTAAGTACCCCGTATAGTGTTAGAATGCAGTAAGTTCCCCGTATAGTGTGTTAGAATACAGTAAGTTCCCCGTATAGTGTGTTAGAATACAGTAAGTACCCCGTACAGTGTGTTAGAATACAGTAAGTACCCCGTACAGCGTGTTAGAGTGCAGTAAGTACCCCGTACAGCGTGTTAGAGTGCAGTAAGTACCCCGTACTGTGTGTTAGAGTGCAGTAAGTACCCCGTACAGTGTGTTAGAGTGCAGTAAGTACCCCGTACAGTGTGTTAGAGTGCAGTAGGTACCCCGTACTGTGTGTTAGAGTGCAGTAGGTACCCCGTACAGTGTGTTAGAGTGCAGTAGGTACCCCGTACAGTGTGTTAGAGTGCAGTAGGTACCCCGTACAGTGTGTTAGAGTGCAGTAGGTACCCCGTATTGTGTGTTAGAATGCAGTAGGTACCCTGTATTGTGTGTTAGAATGCAGTAGGTACACTGTATAGCAGGGTCTAATGCGCATGCGTGGCAAATGCCGCGTGTGCATTAGACCTCCCCATAGGAAAGCATTGAATCAATGCTTTCCTATGGGGGGGAAAAAAATCTGACACTGGAGGTCCTCATGTAGAGCGTCCAGCATCAGATACCAGACCAAAGGTTCGTTTTAATTTAGGAAGCCCTCTAGTGGCCATCTGGCAGACGGCCACTGAGGGCAGACTTAGAGCTGCAATGTAAACTGCAGTGTCTCTTTAAACTGTATAGGGCTGTAGTTATGTTGCTTGGAGTGGTGATTAAAATATTCTGCTTACCAAAAATTATTTAGGCTTTTTTTTTTGTTTTTAAAACCTATCTACAGATTCCGATAAAACAACCTGTTTAGACAGAATATTCTGTAACTTTGTTTTTATTATAAAGAACCTTTTTTCCCTGCTGTAGATAAACTATAACTCAATTGTTTGTCTCGTAGCAGTCAGCTGACATTGGTACATGGATGTTGGCTTGTGACTTATATTGAACGCTATTTTCAAATGATACACCTTTTGTGGTAATTCCTTTTTTTTTTTTTTTCCTGATTGCATAAGCACACTTTTTCTGGTGGTTAGAAAAACAATCTAGTTTTCTTTCAATACACCTGGTACCAGTATGTCACCCAATAAAGTTTACATTGGTCTTTTCTTGTATCCTACTTTTCCCATTTTAAAATACATTATTTAAACATTGCGTAACATATCTATTGTGGTTGTGCCCTCCCTTGAGCTTGACAGTCTTTAATACAATTTTCAAACTTTATTTTACAGTGTCAATGCAAACAATATAATTCTACAGCAGTTTCCAACTTGTAGGTCTACTACAGTTATGTAATGGTTATTCAGTGGAGATCTGGATAGCATTGCCTAGTAACAAATCTAGAATAAACAAGGTTTCTGTGTGTGTGTAAGGGACCACGTCAGGCGCAATAACAAATTCACAGTGCTCGGAGATACCCAGTGTCGGCTTGTCAAAAGGGGTTAAATGGGGATCCAATGGACAGGTACCACTGATAGGGTGCAGGCTTTCACTAAGACTCCCAATCAGTAGCTTTCCATTGTGGGGGGCCGGGAGGCTTAGGCTGAGAGCGTCAGGGGATATATTGTGTCTGTGGCACCCAGTGTGAGGCTTCTGATGAAGCCTTGGACATTTAATGTAAGACAGCTTGAAGACTTTGGGGGGGTAAACCATTCATTAATGGTATAACCTCTTTAAGTGAGATGCAGGAAGACCTTCCCACACAAGGAAGACAGGCTCTTATCTGGAGTGTCTTTCTTGTCTATGGATACAGATCTTATCCTACATACTTGTATAAGGTTATTGGGTAAATAGTTGTTTGTGGGTTTCTTCTCCCAATGATTGGAACTGCATTATAAACTCCTAGCAGACATGATACACTTGTTGTGAAATAACATTATTAGAAGAAATTATAAGCAGCAAAAACACCATCTTAATTTTTTTTAAATTTATTTATTTATTTAAATTTTTTGTATGAGGAAAAAGCAATGTTTTTTGATTTCTTAAGGTTTTTATGTTCGGTGTCCTCAAGTGCAATTTGATAACTTTGAATGTGACTAACGTTTCTCATAAAGAAGAATTGGCTTCAGTTCTTCTCGGAGACTCTTTATGGTAGTTGCCATGCATGCACCATACCGTCTCAATTCTTTTAGAAACTGTCCTGGTGCTGGATTACCGGCAATGTAATTTAAATGCATACGTCTCTTGCACATTTAGCCCTTTTGCAATATACGTTCAAAATATGTTCTTTTATTAGAGGGGGGGAAAAAGGTCTTTCTGCTTCTGCAACCATTTTAGAAGTTGAATGATGTCCAGCATCCACCTTATATCTGCACTAAGGGAAGGGAAATGCAAGTATAAATACAATAATGCAGTGCTGGAGACCCTGTTTATGGTGTAAAAACTGTGCCAATGATATTGATGAGATAAATCCCAGTGATTTCAGGTAATTGAAATCTTTCATTACAGGTTCACTTTAATGCTGCAGGATTCCAATGTATTTTGGATAGTTGAGCGCTGCCAACTTTATGACAGTAGTTTGGAGAAGGCTCTTTCCTGTTACAGCATGACTGTTACTCTGTGCACAAAGCCCAGACCTCAACCCCATCGAACAACTTTGGAATGAATTGGGATGGCTGTTGTGAGCCTCGCCTCATAAATACCCTTTTGACTGAAGAGGCTCAAATTCCCACAGACACAATGTAAAATGTTGTAAAAAGCCTTCCCAGAATAGTGCTGGATAGTGGAAAAGGGTGTCATTACATATGAATGCCTACGATGTCTGACATGCTCATATCGGTGTGATGGTCAGGTATTCATATAATATTAAAAACAAAGAGAACGTTACCTGTGCTCTGACCTAAATCCCCATGTACATTTAAATAAAATGGAGGCACTTTAGTTTTATTCCAATGACCATTTGAATATATAAGCTCACCTGTCACGTCAAGGGGATTTAGGCCAGAGCGCAGGTAACGTTCTCTTTGTTTTTCTACTATGTATTTTAAGCTGTTGGATACTAAGCTACTGCTGCTGTAAGCACCGTGCTTTATCTTTGTATTCATATAATATTGCCCACATAGTGTATCTGGTTAAATCTCTGGTAAACAAGTTAAAAGGTTACTCCAATCTCCTTAACCCATGGGTCGTCAACCTGGTCCCTACCGCCCACTAATGGGCGTTTCAGGATTCCAGGTGGGCGGTAGGGATTTTCAAATTTTGACAGATCGGGCGGGTGAGAGCCGGCGGTACCCCTGCGACTGGGTACCGCCATCACCACTTGCGGCCCCGGCCCGTGCGGCAAACCGCCGGGGCCGCATATGGAGGGGTCCATCGGGTGGCCCATGCTGTCACTGCCACCCGATGGATGTGTATTGTAAGGGGGCCCGGTCAGCGCTGGGTGCTTTAACAGCGCGACCCGGCCCCCTGTGATTACATCACACGCTGACTGCACGTCACTCCTCCAGCTAACACACAGACCACGCGGGAGGAAGGAGGAGGAGGGAGTCAGAGTGGGAACTCTGACTCCCATCCACCTGAGCCACCACTGGACCCCAGGGAAAGTCACCCTCCTGCACCTTAAAGGTAGGAAACAGGAGGGTGATTTAAATATAACGTGTGTATGTGTCTTTGTATGTATGTCTTGTGTGTGTCTTTGTATGTGTCGTGTGTGTGACTGTCTGTTATAGTGGGCTATAGTAAGTAATAGTAAGTGGGATACCTAGCTCAACCTTCCTACTGGGCATTTCTCTAAGGAAGGATAAAAAATTTAAAAAAAAAAAAAAAAGGAGGGGGGGCGAGCTGACGCACAGATGAGAAATCATATTATGAGCAAACAGAGAAGTCGTCTGAATATCACCGAAAGAGGAGACCTTCGTTTGTTCCTTACGAAAATTGAACCAGATATCAAATATTTAGTCTTGCAGCATCAACCTCAAGGATCTCATTAATCACTAGTAAAGGTAATTTCAATTTACTTTATTGTTTTCTCATTAAACTTTATAAAGTTAAAAACATTATAAACATGCATTAAGTAGAAATAAAAAGATAAATGTACGTACATTTATTTATTTTATTTTTTTAAAACACCCTCCTTTCTAAAAAATATTCTGCACGAAAACTGGTGGGCGGTAGGAAATTTTTATCAACCAAAAAGATGCATTAGTGGGCGGAAGGTAGAAAAAGGTTGACTACCACTGCCTTAACCACATATTGTAGCTGGCAGTCTATGGGTGTATAGAATTATTATTATTATTATTATTATTATTATTATTATTATTATTATTATTATTATTATTATTATTTTTTTATTTTTTTTATTTTTTTTTATTCTTTTTCCTAAAAACAAAAAACAAAAACTGGCAGGATACTCTGAGACCAGCCCTTCAGGTGGGGGAACCATAATAAGGAAGTTAATTTCCCCTTTTCAAATCTTTGTACAGCATTATTTTTGCTAGCAGTGGGGTGTCACCGCTACCAATTGTCAGATTTGGTTCACATAACTTTTTCTTAATGATCTTATTATGAATATTTGTCAGGTTTTTAGTCTTTTATGTATTCTCTATACCTTTTATACTGTAATTATAACTTGAGAATACCTGATGATATTCTTCAATTGGGAAGCCTCGCAGAGAGGCGTCGTTGATTGGCTGAGAGCGTCACTTGATGCTGTAAGCCTGAGATTTGTTGAGTCCTGCAATATTCTATCGCCCCCCCTTTAAATAAATAAAAAATTAAAAAAAAAAAATAGTTTTACTTGTCATTCATCCAGCACATCCGAAACTGTGAATGGGTTTGGGAGGAAGGAAGACTTCCCGCTGTATGGGAGAGAGGGGAGGCAAGAGCTTGCCAATTGCATGAAGCTCTGCCTGCAAAAGAGAAGCAGTTGTGTTTCTCACTAGCGTGCATTGTGCACTGACAACAGACTTAATTTATGCACAGAATTGGCATTTGGCAGCCCTGAACAGAGTTTTTGAAACACTGGACATCCAGACTCCTACCAACATCACCACTTAAAAAGCCAAAGTGGTCATGGTGACTAGAGTGACCTTTAACTATCAGAACAAGAGTGCCTGACAATTATTTCATTCACTACATGTGCAGGTTTGAAGCAAACATGGAACAATCTAGTGTGTTTGTGTATTGTTTCTTATAGGGATCGACCGATATTGATTTTTTTTTTTTTTTTTTTTTGAGCCGATAAGGATAATCTTTGAACTTTCATTCCGATAGGCGATAACTTAATACCGATATTCTGTACATTTACCGTTTTGAAAAACTAAACTATTTCTACACAAATCTACTGTAAACTGAACATGTTTATTATTTTTTATTTTAGCAAATATTTTGTACACATTTTTTTTTTTTTTATTATTCAGGTAAATGCACAAAATACAAATGCCAGTCAGAAGTTATGATTTCAAGAATATGTGCGTGTAGTGAGTGTGTGTATTTATGTAGTGTGTGTGTGTGTGTGTGTGTGTAAAGTAAATGCAGTGTGTTTGTGTAGGTATGTAAAATGGGGCAGGGGGGGAATATGTATTTTTGTAATTTATTTTTTTTTAAATTAATTTTAAACCTTTTGTTTTAGTACCCCCCCCCTCTGCATCTTACCTGGCCAGGGAGGGGGGATATGGCATTCGTTGGTGGTCCGGTGGCAAGGACTGTGCAGTGGAGGGCCCGCAGCAAGCTCTTACTTACTTTCCCATCAGCTCCCCTGTCTAACTCTCTCGGCCTGTGTGCTGTGTGGAGCGTTGCCATGGTAACCAGTGGCAACGCTCTGACGGCCACGAGATTTACACAGGGAGCTGAAGGGAGATCCTGGGAAGGTAAGTAAGAGCTTGCTGTGGGCCCTCCAGGACCGCCGTGCCCATGACAGCTGTCTTGGTTGTCATGGGCCCGGCAGTCCTGGTCTGCAATATCGGTATGTTTATAGGCCGTACAGATTATTGCCGGAAATTCAGAATATCGGCCAGATTGATAATCTGTCGATCCCTAGTTTCTTATTAATGCGTTGGATGTGTCTGATAAGAAATCGCTTTCCTATGTGTTTCCAATGTATTAAGTGTGTATTGTATCACAATATTAATGGAACACTTTGACATTAAAAATAAATGTGTAATATCTATGCAGAAATGATTTTTTTACATTTAAAAAAAAAAAAATTTTTTTAGAATTTCAGTTGCAGGGAATATGATTTAAAGGAACTCTATAGTGTCAGGAACACAAATATGTATTTGACACTATGGTGGTCAAATATTTAAATTCTTGGCCGTCCTCTTTATGGTAACAAGGTGATTTTACTCTTACTCTCCCCCCCCCTCCCCATGCCAGTCTCGTTGATGCTATAGACACCAGAACTACATTAAAGGAAACTGTAGTGATTGGAAACATTAGATCTGTATTTCTGATTCCCCTTAATAATTTGCCCCTATACGCTGTAGTTGTTCTGGTGTCTATATAGTAGTCTTTACCATTTGTGACCTATAAGCAAACAACCTTTTTACCTATAAGAGAGAGAGGATGTGATAGACAGGTCTTTATAAAATGTTGTGTAGTTAACTCAATGACTGTCCTTGGCCAAACATAAGAACCAGGCAAGGCATAGTGCTGATTCATATTAATAGCAAAGTTAAAGTGTACTGTTAACACACAGTGGCTTCCCTTTTACATGGCCTCCTGGATATGCAGTGAATTTGTATATTTGTCTATTTATGTGACTATAAGATGAGTGCTCTGTGTATTATTTTCTATCACTGAAATGTTTTATGCTTTAAAACTAAAATAGCAACATGTTTTGTGTGGTGAAGCCTAGTCACAATTCTGTTAAACTCCATCCCAACTGCACCTATCCTTCCAACTTCTACCTTCGTTTTGCCCCACATTCCGACCAGCCAGCCGGGTAGGAGCGGAGGCGGTGCCCTTGCCAGTGCCGAGGGACATTGGCGCTAGACTCGGGTAAGTCACAGAACTTTGTTTTCCTGGCACTATAGTTTCCCTTGAGTTGGGCATAAAACTAGGGACAGGGGCATACTTTAGTGTTAAGAATACAGTATTGTGTGCCTAATGCTACAGGGTTCTTTGAATCATGTGAAAGGGCTGCTTAATTGGGTGAGGTTGTTTTAATTGGCAGGTTTATAGTTGTTGCTTAAAGGGACACTGTAGGCACCCAGATCACTTCAGTTAATTGAAGTGGTCTGGATGCTGTGTCCCTCTTGCACTTAGTGCTGCAATGTAAAACATTGCAGTTCCAGAGAAACTGCAATGTTTTCCATTTCAGCTCTAAGTGTGCCCTCTGTGGCTGTATAACAGACAACCACTGGAGGTGTTTCCGGATACATAACAAACTATTAGTCCCTTATCTGACGCTGGACGTTCTCGCGGACCTCCAGCGCCAGATTTTCACCATAGGAAAGCATTGAATAATACTTTCCTATGGGGTGGTCTAATGCGCACGTGACCATTGCTGCGCATGCACATTAGGTCAGTGACGTGAGCGGGACCTGACTCAGCGCCGAGGGACATTGGCGCCGGATTCAGGTAAGTAGCTTAAGGGGTTTTAACCCATTCAGTGACATGGGATGGGGTGCGGGAGGGAGGGGGCACTTCAGGATTCTCTAGTGCCTGGGGAACGGTTTTGTTTTCCTTGCACTGGAGAATCCCTTTAAATATAAGTGTTTTGCTGATAACCTTAACTTTTTCTTTTCTATCCACTTTTCAAACTAAAATCTGTATTACGATTACAAAAAATAAATAAAATATTTATTGGTATCGGGACAACCTTCTCTGTTCTCTAGAAACCATTTTCTTTAGTTTGTTATATGCTGTTTTTAGGACCTGACGTATAAGACCAAAATTTGCCCTGATTTGCCTTAAGATAAAATACTTAAAGGGACACTATAGGAATTCGGCTTTGTATTCATGTCACTATAGTATTCCTTAAAAGCTATTCAAAGCTTGTAAGTGATGCAGTGCTTTAGATAAGTTACTGTATTCATCAAAAGCAAATTTATAGATGAAATTCTATTTTAATTTATGTACCACCATTGTACAAGTTTGAGCAGTGCACATTTTGAATGCACACTGCTCAGTATGTTTGTGGAATAGCTGAGCATTTTACTAGCAAATGCAAAATAACTATAAAAAAAATACCCACACTAAAACTGCAACCATAAAGAGAATTGTGGGGAACATAAATGTTTGAGTAACTATATTTCTTCCCACTTTCATTAACTGTAGAGCACCGTAGCCCTGGTGTTCCTGCAGTTCTAAGCCTTACTATCTTTTTAAGGGTACTTCGGCATTACCCAATATGTTCATGGCTTTGTAGCTGTGCTTAGATGAGCACATTCATCATTAGGACTGCACCCCAATTTATTTGGAGGTTTGACACTTGGGAATGATTTTATAGGTAGAGCTAGCAGTAGGGTTAGTATTCTGTGCTGCTGTTAGATCCACCTTTTATACCTATGGCCAACAAGGTATCAATCGTTGTAAACCCAACTGGCACTATGGGCAGACTAAAGGTAATTATCTAATCTCAGGGTGATCTGCTCTAAATGTCATATTCAAGCTGGTACTGTTAAAGAGACACTTCAGAGCTGCATTCCACATGATTCTGTTGTTTACATTGCGCAGTGACTCCTGCCTTGGGATTTTTCTACATAAATAGTGTGTCCACCACTACTCCCTAATTCTATATTGGCTGTGGTATATATTATCACTCTTCTTTAGTGGTCTCTGATGGGTCACCTTTTTTTTTTTTTTTTAACCACACCCTAGTACTGCAATATCACTGCAAGAAGTCACTGTGATGTTTATGACTGGGCTCGACAAATCTCCGGAGCCAGGTCCACATGGCTTCTAGGAGTTCTGTCCTGGCACTTTGGTATTTGTCATCCCTCCAAGGTGGACAAAAAGAGCAGGGAAATGATCCACTTTAGCTCTTTAGGTTGGGTGTCTGTCAATGAGTGTGTGTTTGTTTAGGTAACAACCCTCCTCTGATCGCATGCAAATGGTGTTTTTACGGAGATCGAGCTTGATGATCTCAGCCAATCCAATGCTTTCACATAGGAAAGCACTTGGAAGCTACTGTGCATATGCGGAAAACCGTTCATTCCAAACTATCTTATCGTGCAAGCCTACTGTTTCTGGACCATCTTTCCAGTTTCTTATATTGTTCCCTTTTACTAACAATTTACCATTGTAGATTAAATTATATTGTTTACCAGTGCACTGCTATTTCTGTCACAGGTGCACTTCGCTGTACCATAGTGATTTCTAAAGCATTCAATTTTCATTTTACTCAGTGTGCATAAAATATCTGATAAGAGATTTTCATTAGTGAACTGGTTCACTCTAAAAAAAAATGTTACAGCTTTACATGACTTTACAAAGGTTTATTGAAATTCGTATCCACGCACTGGCAACAGCAGCAGGTTTACAGGACCTTAGAGAAAAGTGAGAGGAAAATCTGAAAAAGTGTTGGTAATGCTTATTTGTATATGATGTTTGGTATTGTGGCAGTGTTGTGGAAACAATCTTTCATAGTTGCTAATTCTAGCACAAGTACCCATTTCCCGACGACTGCCTGCATACTCTCGCATGCCTAATTTGTGAAACCTTAACCATCACTGCTCATTGTATTGCACCCTGAATTTGGAATGGGTTTACAGAAAACTTGGGCTATCCCTGACACCATAGCTGTGTCCTTGGATTACAAAAATTACACTTTCACATTACCAAGTATGAACCTGTCTAACCTGAGAGTCTTGAAAGCAAGAGCCCATCACTCTGAGCCTGCCTTTGCTGTTCAGGTGTGATTTTGGAACTGCTCCAAAGTGGTTTGACAGAAAACTTGGATGAAACCTTCGTAGACTTTTCCAAACAGTTTACTGGGCACTGTTATTGAGGCTAGGAGTCATGAGTGATTTCTGCATTGGCACATCACTTTCCTTCAGCTATTCAAGTTATTTACTTATTTTTTTGTGATTCAGGACACATTACCCTTTAGTTCCCTTTCTTCCTTGAGTCAAATTCTACCTGGGTATTTGTGTACTTTGGGATCTCAAATGCTCTGCCACACCAGCTTTGCTTTACTACTCTTACTCCCCTAGACCATGCTTTCTGATATCATCTGTGTGACGGACCACGTGATATCATCTGTGTGACCCAACCAGGTACCTCTGTCAATTGCTGATCCCTAGTACTTGCGAGTACCATAAGCACTGCACTGGAACATCATAACCACCGTAAACTCAACGAACCGCCGCAGCTTGGTTGGGGTCTCGTCACCCTCCACCCACCCTGGACCAAAGACCAGGATCCAGCTTCCAGTAGGTAGACCTCTCCTAGTCCAGAGAGCGTAGCAGGAACCGCTCTTACAAGAGCTTAGGGGTTATACTCAGGGGAGTATAGTGATTATAGCAATCCTCCAAACATGAGCCTAGACTTCATGAAGGGTAAAACAAGTGTGCTTAATGGAAGCCACAGCTGGCCTTTTATGCAAGTTTCCCAACAAGGTTGACACCCACGTGGACCTTGTTGGGCACAGGGGCACAAAGATTACAGCCAATAACAATACAGTGACAAAGTGTCCCAATACAAATAGATAATTTCCTCCTCTCTGCATGTGAGATAATGAGGGCAGATAATGCTTTAACTTAATTATCCCCAGGCAGCAAAACACAAATTTTTTACAAAGTAGAAGTACTCAAAACACAACACATTCCAACAAAACACACCCCCTGATCTGGGTGAACAACATATCCAAAAATCACCCAGAGCAGGGGTTCAGGAAATTCCTGTTAGTCTCTTTTTGACCGACCGCACGCATTGTTTGTTTCATCCCCAAAACCGTTCCAGAGAATTTGGCTGTGCGGCCGGTATAGTTCCAATAGTTGAAGTATCATTTGAATTGCTGAACAAAGCCGTTCGGGAGTATAGTCTGTGTATGTCCCTTGTTCGTGGGCTTCAACTCACCGAACGACGTTCGAATAGCCGAAGTTGCCTGGAAAGTAACTGTTAAGTGGTGTTCATGCCGTTGCGTGTCCGATTTGAGTTCCATGAACTTGACGACAAAACACCGCTGAACACGTTCGAACAAGCAAGATGGCCGCCGCCAGGTGTTCGAATGGCGGCCACTTCGACTACTTCGATTGTTCGAAGTGCTAATGCCGAAGAGGGCACAAACATTGTCCCTGAACACAATACATCTCAGGGGCCATAGTCACAGGGTAGGAGGCTGGCAAACAGGCCCCTCCAAAACCTAGTGGCAAACTCACAGAAAAAGGGGACTTTGTCACACACTGCAAATGTCAAGTTTGAGATAGGTAGTGTGTGTAATATTAGGATTCCAATGACTATATCGACAAGATTCAAACACCTGATTCTAGTCAACATTTCAGTGTAATGATTCTTTAGCTAAAATCCCTTCTCTTCACTTTTGTTACTAGGCTTACATTTAATAGAATATGGCATGTGCTTGTGACTCCTGGCAATTTTTTTTTATTTTTTTTTTTTAAATTTGCTGAGTAACGCTTGCATATTTTTCACTGGCATTAAGGATTGTCATTGTGAATGGCTACGATAAGAGGATGTAATGGGTATACGTGGTCTGGAGTTTTGGTTAGAATGGTCACGAGGTTTCCTTCCACATTTCTGTTTTGTAAAGGAAATGTGTGATTGCATGAATCTTCAAGTTCTTGTAATTGTCCTTTTTGTCTTTTTTGTCTTTTTTTTTTTTTAACCTTTCAATGTTTTTATATAAAATTCATACCCTAACATATATAGCCACCAATGTACTAACTAAATCTTCAGTAATGCACTTTGTTTACCGTAGAGAATCTAAACGTTTGTGAGGAGTTCAGTAAATGTTCCCTGATTATTATTAATAGTTACTTTTATTCCAGGCACAAAAGGTTTTCTATGTATGAGAAGTTGCGATATTCCTGGTGTTTACTCTTTAAGCACTTTTTCCCTGGTATTTCTCTTTATTCCTATTCTGATGTGCTCTATTCTTTAAAGGACCACTATAGGGCTGAAGGGGGAAGAAGGGGTTAAACACTCACCTTTCTCCAGTGCCGGGGACTCTCCTCCCTCTTCTGATGTCATCGGCTGAATGCGCAATCTCAGTGCTTTCCTATGGACGCTGGCGTCTTCTCACTGTGAAAATCACAATGAGAAGCGCGGAAGCCCTCTAGCGGCTGTCAATGAGACAGCCACTAGAGGCTGGATTAACCCATAGGTAAACATAGCAGTTTCTCTCAAACTGCCATGTTTACATCAGGCAGGGTTAACCCTAGATGGACCTGGCACCCAGACCACTTCATTGACCAGTGGTCTGGGTGCCTATAGTGGTCCTTTAAAAAAAAAAAAAAAAAAATGTTTTATGGTGTATATTTTTATGAATTTTTAATTTTGGCTGAGCAGCCATGTTGGGTATTATTATTAAACGCTCAACCTTGCTTGTAGTTGGTCAGAAGTTTCAGATAACCATAGAGAAATGAGTAAACTTTCTTTGAAGTAGAAATGTAGCTACTCTTAAAGCGCCACTAGCGTCTCTTACTAATGTCACTGATGCACAAAAGTGCACAATCGAGGTTTATGCAAGACTGAAGGGATTTTTATGTCTTCTCACACATTTGACACCCGAGATGTCCTAGACCTTGAATTTACATCACGTGATATGTTGTAGTTTTCCATCAGACGTCTCTGCTGATAATTGGAGGGGAGCACACATTTACACCGGTGTGTTAAAAAGTTCAATCTGTAGTGGACAAGTCCTTGTACATGAGTATAGTGCAAGTGTCCTCTAATTCGGTTCAGATCTAGCCAATGCACAGTTCCTTGCTGTATGCTTCTTTCATGCCATTGCCATCTGCTCATCCACCATGTTAAGTTATAAGAAGCCATGACTAAAATTTAACACACAACACTGACTAGCTTATCACCGCTCAATTTCCAGATGCCCTTTTGTGAGCAGGTGATTGGGAATTTTTTAGTTCGGTTTACCTAGCTACTTCAGACAAAATTCCATCTATAAATCAATTACAGCACTGTAGTATATTGGCATTTCAATAAAATAACAGAATTATTTAATAATGCATGCAGATTTTATACTTTATATATTTTTGAAAACCCAGACTGCTGTAAATAGATTTATGAGCATGACTCTGTTCCGCTGGGTGGGAAATTGCTAGTTTGATTGAATAGTAGGAAGATGATTGGCTGGCCTTCCCCAAATAAGTTCCTGGTTTGATCTTGGGGTATTTGAAAAGAAGCAAATCCAGCAGAAACGTTGATGCTTTTTTCTACTGTAAAGATTTGTGTTCATTGTTATCCCTTTAAGAAAATGCAGTGTTAAGAAATAGTTTATTCTAGGGATCGACCAATCTAATTTTTCCAAGGCCAATGCAGAAACAGATTATTGGTGCCAATATTCTGTGTATTTAAAATTTTGGAAAAGCAGCACAATTTCTACCCAAATCTGGCGTTAACTGAACATGCTGAGCAACCACTCTTGTCACTGTAAGGCAGCCAGTACATGTTGGGATCACTGAGATCCCAGCATGTTCCGTGCTTTTACTAATAGGCGTGTGATTTCTGTAAAGTAAATGTTGTCAACAAAAAGTGTGGAACGTAATTATTTATTTAAATTTACCTTCTTGAAAACAATTAATAGTAATGCTAAAATGAGTTCCTGCAGTGCTGTTCTATTGAATAGAAAAGATGGTATAGGAAGATTGCAATGGAATTGTCATGTTTGTTTTATACATTTTATTCTGCCGCTATGCACTGTAACCTTAGTCCTTTGACTCTATATAACATTCTGTTTGAAAAGTGATGGGCTTGCCTTGAACTTGGACATGGTGCGCGTGATTCTGTCATCATTATACATGGCCTTGAAGGACACATGTCACAGTTTGCTTACTACACAGGCTGTGAGCCATATTTTATCAAGACAAATACTGGGGCAAAGTTCTAAATGTGTGCACTCCACGTAATCTGTGCAGCTTCCATAAGAACAGGCAGTGGAGAGCCCCAGTTGTGTGCCAAGGCAGCTTGACAGAAAACTGGACGGCGCCCATGTCCTTATAGAACAGGGCTTAGAATCTAGTTGCCAGCTAAAATAAGTTAGACTGGTGTTTCAGAGTAAAGGCAGTGTTTACATTGCTGCATTGTAACACCTATAGTGACAGTCATTTAGATGGCCACTAGATGCTTCCTAGTCCAATGCTGGTTGGTCACCTAAGCACACACTCACTGACAGAGACTCCCTTATTTTATATATATATATATTTTTTTTTATTATTAAAAGTCTACCTCCTGCTAATTTATGTCCACTTAACTTAAGTCTCCCTATATTTTAGAAAGCTGGAGTGTATCATTTCCCTGGGGTCCAGTGTGGCTGCTGTCCTTCAAGATCTTCCTTCTCTTTTCCCTCATGTGCTGTTTAATGATACTGGAGTGATGTTGTATCCCGGCTCCCTGCATCTCAGCAGGGCGCGCAAGAGCAAAGCAGGAAGATTACTGCTTCCCCAGCTGCCTGCCCCCATGCTTCACCAGCCGCCTGCCCCATGCTCCCTTGTGCGGAGAAATACCTATGTGCCATGACAAAACTCCTTGGTGTCTCCGATATTGTGTTTTTTTTTTATTTTATTTTTTTGAGCCATGTCAGAGCTTGACACATTTTCTCTGAATCTAACAGCCAGCATAAAAAGTAGAGCTGTTTTTTATTTTTTTAAAAAGATTTATTTTCAATGACAAAAATACAATAAAATACATGTCCCAGCTGGCTTTTAAATGTAAACACTGCCTTTTTTTTATTTTAAGAAAAGGCTGTTTACATTGCTGCCTAGTAGCACTTGTAGTGGCAGTCACTCAGAGGGAATTCCTATCTCAGTGCTGCACAGCATGCAGCGTCTCCACGTCGTGCATGGAAGCCCTGAACGTTCCCCATACAGTTGCACTAATTTAATGCATCTCTCTGAGGTGGTGCTGATTGGCACAGCGTTTTGCTGCATATGCACAATAGCTTCCAAGTGCTTTTCTATGTGAAAGCATTGGATCAGCTGAGATCATCAAGCTCAATCCATCTCCATAAAAACACCATTCTCATGCGATCAAAGGAGGGCGGTCATCTAAATCTACACACATTCTTTTACACTCACAAATTATTTTAATTCAATTTTAGGTACACCCAACCTCCCTACCTAAAGTGGATTGTTTCCCTTGGTACAGTGGGATTACTGTCATCTTCCTGCTCTTCTTGTCCACCTTGGAGGGATGACAAATACCAAAGTGCCAGGACAAATTTCCTAGAAGCCATGGGGACCTGGCTCTGGGAATTTGTTGAGCCCAGCCATACACATCACAGTGACTTCTTGTAGTGAGATTGCATAGAAAGCCTCTTTATCAAAAATAAGTCACGTCCTAATAGAGCATTACCCCTTAAAGGTGTTAAAGGCCCTTTTGGGGGGCATTTTTGCCATGCATTCATCCAACCACAGTTTTACCCCTTTCTGTGTAAGTGCACCCATGCATATTGTATTTTTTTTTTTTTTAAAGGGAAGTTGAACTTTTTTGTTTTTTTTTGTTTTGTTATATATTATATATATGTATGCATAATACAACATTAAACATGAATAAAAATATGCAAAATTTGAGAGTTGGTGAAGAAAACTCCACTAAAGAAATATAACCCAAAATAGATTCACTAACTAGTGCTACTTGTTAAAATGCCTAGTATGTCTAAGATTCCAGTTAATATTTCAACGTTGTTTTGCAAAAAGTGAATAACTGTTTTAAAGCAAAAATTTTGCAAAATGTAGCATGCTGAGATCACAATTTCACAAAATCCAAAACTGCTACAAAAAAGTACATTCCCCAGGCACTCTTCATTTAACGATTCACAAACACTGTGTAAAGCTTACCATATTTGAATTCTATTATTCTCGAGTACAGTGATACACTACACGTATACCTGTAAATAGGATAACGGCAGCTATGACATGGCTATCATTGAGTAGTTAATCTGTGGTTGTGTGATCTAGCAAATAACTACTTATGCCATAACTATAACTGCACAGGGATCTAGGGAATATTTAATTCCCCTACTTTAACCCTTTGTGTCAATATACCCCACTCCCTCTAGCATGTAAGCTCATCGAGCAGGGTCCTCAACCCCCTCTGTTCCTGTACGTCAGTGGTCTGATCTCAATTATATGTCTGTAAGTCCACCCATTGTACAGCGCTACGGAATTTGTTGGCACTATATAAATAATAAAATAATAATTAATAATCTGAAAAACAAAAAAAACCTCCAATCAGAATGAAGTGCTGCTTCTTATTATGGGGCATTAGCAAGACATTTTAACGTAATACTCAAAAAATATAAGATTTAAGGGTTATGGTTTTTTATCAAAATAGGGAAACATTATTGATTTGTTAATTTCGCTAACTTGTTTTTACATTATCAATATAATTACTTGAAACATGGCCCTAAAGTGTTCCTTTTGAAGCTCTCTTTACCCAAGACAAATTCACAAAGTCCTACCTTCTCCATTTGCCTTTAATGACACCAGTAAAACCATAGTCTAGCTATTCTTGGAAAAGCAATCCCTTTAGCATGCGTCTGTATTGTGTGAGTAGCAGAGAAACGGTCTTTTGTAAACTACAGACATTACAGCCATGGAGAAATTTAAAGCCAGAGAGGGGAGATTCACATTGTTGCTGTTCTGTTTTTGTTCGACTGTATAAAAAGTTCATCGAACTATACCAATTTCTGTGATGTTGATGATGATATGGATACTGTATGACACACACAATTCTTTTCTACCAATCTAATTATTCCATGGCAAACTTGCTCTGTGTTAGTGTAAATGGCCATTTTTGTTTTACATTTATTTATTCATATATATGTATATATTTGTTTTTGTTTTTTAGTGTGAACTTTAAAAATGGCGGATTCCTGTACAGATCAAAGCATGTGCCATGCAGAAGAGGAGAGTGGTGCTCCAGAAGAAGCCTTGTTTAGTTTGGCAGATATGTTCCTCTTCTCCCTCATTGTTGGGCTTGTCACTTACTTTTTTTTCTTCCGCAAGAAGAAAGAAGAAACCATTGAGTTCACTAAAATCCAGCCACCTATGTAAGTACATTTTGGTTTTCTTTGTATTTGCACTGAGATTTTTATTTAGTAGAGTGGCAAAATGACCTGCACACGGCTCCATTCTTTTTCCATTATGTACAACTTTGAAATACAGGGAGAAAGCCTATCTGTTACTTCTTTCATCCACACATACATAGCTGCAGTAAGTCTATGGAACCACTAGATGGGATCATTGCACACTGATTTCATTTGGATAACGAAAACACTTGTGGTTGTGTATCACTTTTCAGTCATACATTTTTTAGGTTTATAATTTCTATGGTAATACAAAGATCTGACTATGACAGTATCTAGAAGGCCTGTTGCAGGTTAATGTACACTTTTCAAAACCACTGCGCAAAGCATCATTTTATACAAGGTTTCTCAAACTCTTTATTATTCTACTAGAACTTTTGGGCTTAATGTAATAGTGGCATTCAGTGTTAAGAATTAAAGTTAAAGGGACACTATAGTCACCAAACCAACTTTAGTTTAATGAAGCAGTTTTGGTACATAATCATGCTACTGCAGTCTCACTGCTCAATTGTCTGCCTTCTAGGAGTTAAATCACTTTGTTTATGCACCCTAGTCGCACCTTCCTGCATGTGACGTACACAGCCTTCCTAAACATTTCCTGTAAAAAGTCAGCTAATGTTTATCCTTCCTTTATTGCAAATTCTGTTTAATTTAAATTTTCTTATCTCCTGCTTTAATAGCTTGCTATACCATGCAGGAGTCTCCTGTATGTAATTACAGTTTAATATACAGAACAGGAGATAAAATCTTTTAAGGTAAGTTACATCTGATTGAAAGTGAAACCAGATTAGTTTTTATGCAGGCTGTGTCAGTCAGAGCCAGGGGACGTGTGGCTATGGCTAATTAACAGAAACAAAGTGATTTGATTCCTAAATGACAGAGAATTGAGTGGTGAAACTTCAGAGGCATGATCTATACACAAAAACTGCTTCATTAGGCTAAAGTTGTTTTAGTGACCATAGTGTTACAGGGGCACTTCCATGAATTTTTAATAGGTTAACTTATCCCTCTATTTAGCAAATATTTTGTGAGATATGAAAAATATTAAATGTAGAAATGCACCACTCTTAATCCTGCAGCTGTCGGCCTCCATCTTAGCTCCCTGTCGGTAATTGTTAGAAGCTCAGACCTTTTGTACCTGGCACACCATATAGAGCATGCATAGAGTAAAGAGGAGAAATGAAACAATCTTATTATTTCTTCTCATCATTTGCCTTATTTGAACTGTATTATCATGCCAGTTGCTAACTATTTAAAAAAAAACCTCTTCTTCAATGTTTTGTTCAATTTTGTACATTGCTGAAAAAGTGCCCATTCCCTTAAAGGACCACTATAGTGTCCCCCTCCAGCCGGGCTCTGGGGAAAGTAAGGGGTTAAAATCTTACCTTTCTCCAGCACCGGGCGGGGAGCTCTCCTCCATAGCGACGTCATCGGCTGAATGCGCGGCAGGAGCCGCGCGCGTATTCAGCTAGTTCATAGGAAAGCATTTACAATGCTTTCCTATGGACGCTGACGTCTTCTCACTGTGATTTTCACAGTGAGAAGCACGCAAGCGCCTCTAGCGGCTGTCAAGAGACAGCCACTGGAGGCTGGATTAACCATATTATAAACATAGCAGTTTCTCTGAAACTGCTATGTTTATATATTTAAAAAAAAAAAAAAAAAGGGGGGGGGGTTAACTCTAGCTGGACCTGGCACCCAGACCACTTCATTAAGCTGAAGTGGTCTGGACGCCTATAGTGGTCCTTTAAGTATTTCTGCAGTTTAATTGCAAATATATATGTACAGGAAAAAAAGTTACCGTAATTGATTTTAGTCGGAATCAATGTTTGTTATTATACACCATTGCATAAAGCTGTTTACTGTCTATGTAACACTTTGTATAATGAAATTACTTGAGTAAAGGTTTTTCATATGCAGCCATGGGAGGAGGGTTGCCAGACTGTTAAATTTAATTTGGAATCTTGCCTATTCTACAGGTTGTAGGGCAGTGCACCTTGTTGACTAGCAATATGAGGAGATTGTATGTTCTTGGTGTGAAATTACGAAGAAACGGTTTCAATTTAAGTAATCAAGAAAATAAAATATTTAAAGCACTTATAACCACTAGCGCAAACTGTTGGTTTATAGAATTGTTAATATTCACACACATATTGGCATATTATTATTTTTTTATTTTTTTTTTATTTTTTTACATTTTTGAAGACCCAAATTGGATAAATGAGTCTGAATTGGTAGAGGGAGAGTAATTGGCACCCAAAGATCCAAATTAGAAGTAATCAATTCTTAAAGGACCACTACAATCACACAGACCACTTCAGCTCAATTAAGTGGTCTGGGTGCCTGGTCCCCCAGGTTTTAACCCTGCAGCTGTAAACAGCAGTTTCAGGGAAACTGCTATGTTTACATTGCAGGGTTAATCGAGGCAATTCCCCAACGTTCAATGCGAAAATCGCATTGTCTGGTTACAACTATGCTATGTTTACATTGGGGTTAATCCAGCCTCTAGTGGCTGTCTCACTGACCGCCACTAGAGGCGCTTCTCACTGATTATTTATTTTTTTCACAGTGAGAAGACGCTGCCGTCCATAGGAAAGCATTAAGAAATGCTTTCCTATGGACTGATTAAATGTGCTCGCGGCTCTTGCTGCGCATGCACCTTCTGCAGATGACATCGGAAGAGGGAGGAGATTCCCCAGTGCCGAGGGAGCCTGGCGCTGAAGAAAGGTAAGTGTTTAACCCCTTCCTCCCCCTAAGAGCCCAATGGGAGTTGGGCCATCAGGGTGGGGGGGAGGGTGACCTATTAACACTATATAGTGGCAGGAAAACAAGTTTGTTTTCCTGGTACTATAGTGGTCCTTTAACACTGTTCTGGTGATTATAGAGTCCCTTTTAACTTAGCAGTTATGTAAAGTTTTGTTTTTGTCATTCTTTATTTTTGGTGTGCATTGGGTAACAAACACAGAGTAGTAATGACCATTTATGCGTAAGACAAGATTAATAAAAATACAGGGCTATAGCCTAAAATGTCACAATCTGCACATATTTTAAAGTAAGATGATGTATGATCATGCTACTCAAACATGTCTAGGTGGAGGGGGGAAAAAAAAGGAAAATTCCCAAGATATACAATCATACACTAAGTTCCTGACATGAGAATAAATGATAGGCATAGACATAAACTAACTTGCTAGTTCAGAGAATAGGAGTAGTGCCACTGGGGTTTTACAACATGACTATAATAATTAAGCACAGCATGTTCTAAATATGTAAAAATACAGAAAATTGACAACTGGTCAAAATGAGGGACCACATTCTAGCTACTGAGATTATGCCTATGGGCTTCTGAGGCAGGAGGCCCTTATACAGCGAAACTCCCCATTCAACCAATTCCCAATGTTGGAGGGAGTAGAGGGGCAACTCTGGATTTCTGTAGCAGTGCTTCACCAGCCCCAGGCTCTAGTATAGTCCATGGCAGATCTTATCGCTTTCTGCGACAAGTACGTAGACCCAGGGTCTCCCGTGGGTGTGAGCTGGGCCTCTGGAGTAGGCTCCGGGTGGACTTAGGCCTAGGTAAGTGTTGGCTGTCTTTCTTCCAGGGATGTGGCGATTGCCATTTCATCCCTCTCCACCTCCTTTCTTTTGGGGTCAAGGTTGGTTTATGTAGAGTAGGGGCTGGGTCAGGGTTACCTTAAGAGTTGGGCATAAGGAGCATTCCTTCTCCGCACTTCACTAATCAGAGGTTGATTTTTAGCCCAGAATCTCTCCTACAGCTGTGCAAAGGTCTGTTCCATGAGTTCCTCATAGAGGGCCCTGGACGCTGCGGCAACCATCTTGGAATGCCCGTCCGTGAATTGTATTTATGTGATTGCCTGTATTTCCCCCCATGTATTTGTGAATATTTGTATGTTTTACCTGCTCTCCGCTCAGGAGAGCTCATACGAATGGATTCTGTTCGTCTCCCCAATGGGGACCACCTCCATACCCAATTTAGAATTTGTTTATTTAGAACGTTCACACCTCGTTAACGAGGTGTATAAACCACAAAAACGGCAGAGGGAAGCCTCGGCGCGTGCCGACCCTAGGTGGCAGCACGTTCGTTAGGGGAAGCATTTGTGGATTACTTCCCACATTGTTTGGTTCCCGAACGAGGACCTCCGCAGTGCCTCTTGGAGTGTTCACACCAATCTATTAGAATGTTGGCAACTTGCAACATAAGTGTGAAACCGCAAGGGAGGTAATTAAAGGAAAACAATCAGTTTTCCTGGCACTGCAGGTCCCCTCTCCCTCCCACCCCCCGATCCCCGCTGATTCCTCCGCCGCCGCTCCTCCTCTGCATTGCGTCGCCCGGTGTGCAAGACTGCACATTAGCGATCACTATAGGAAAGCATTGAAAATTAATTTCAATGCTTTACTATGGGGAAATGAGCAACGCTTGAGGTCCTCACACAGAGTGAGGACGTCCAGCGATGCTCTAGCACAGGTTTCCTGGGCGGGAGTATGGAGTGGGTGGAACTGGGGACAAAGTGATTGGGGTTCCGGTTCTGTTATGCGACCCCCTGGAGGGGGACATTGTCGTTGTGTGTGATCCACCCCTTGCATGGGGAAAGTATAAAGCAAAGTGTGGCCAATAAAGTTGTTGTTGTACCCTTGGAATGGTGTGTCGTCCAGTTACTGGGGGTAGATGGGTCTCTTCATTCTGTACTAGCTGAGGTAACCAGTCTGGTTACCCTCTGCTTGCTACAGCAGCTTTGAGCATTTTATGCAGATTTCGCCGCTTTCTGCAACATTCTTGTGGCTGTGGCTGGTCTGCTCACCAGTGAGGACCTGAAACAAGCTTGCCCGATACAAGCCTTTGAGGTATGTGGTGTTGTGCACAGAGAATCCATCTGTAGAGGGCCTCAGTCGGACTGCTAGTGCCGTGCATGTAAGTAAAGTAGGCAGGTTTGCCATTGAAATTGTGGTGAAAGACCCCTGTAATATGCTTAGTTTCAGGTTTCCATGGAGGAGCCCCTGCAGCACACGTCTGCCTCAGTTGGCTGTTGGTCCTGCCCCAGTAATGCAAAGTTTTAATGATGCTTACAGTGACCATTTTAAAGGGACAGTATAGTCACCAAAACAGCTTTAAATTAATGAAGCAGTTTTGCTGTATTGATCATGCCCCTGCAGTTTCATTGCTCAATTCTGTCATTTAGGAGTTAAATTACCGTACTTTGTTTATGCAGCTCTAGTAATACCTCCGTGCATGTGACTTGCACAGCCTTCCTAAACACGTCCTGTAAAGAGTCAACTAATGTGTACATTTCCTTTATTGCAAATTTTGTTTAAATTTTGAATTTCTTATCTGCAGCACTATTTATAGCATGCAAGACACTGCAGGAGCCTCCTGTGTGTGTGATTAAAGTCCAGTTTAAAGAACAGAATATACAAGCTTTTAAAGTATATCTGATTGAAAGTGAAACCATTTGTTTCATGCAGGCCATGCCAGTCAGTCATGGGAGGTGTGGCTAGGGCTGCTTAAAGAGAAACAAAAATGATTTAACTCCTAAATGGCAGAGAATTGAGCAGTGAGACTTTAGAGGCATGATCTATAAACCCAAACTGCTCCATTAAGATAAAGTTGTTTTAAAGCGGCACTGTCATGCCGAACTTACCTTTCCTCAATCTCTTCCTCTTCTCCCCCTCTCTCAGGATCTGTTATTCTTTTCTTCCTGTCTTCTTTAGTTTTATTTAAAATCATAAGACAAAGTAGGGACTCTTTGCCTTATGGGGGATTCCTCCGCTTGACCAGCTCTGACCAGCGGAGGAGCAAAGTGTGCTTCATTTCCGCTGGTCAGAGCAATTTTCCCATGATCCCTAGCTTTCCTCAGTGTTCCCACAATGCTTCCTGTCATTTTACACAAAACTGCCGAATTGCGTTCTAACTGAATGACAACAGTATGTTCGTTTCTTTTAGAACGCAATTCGGCACTTTATTCGGATCAGAATTTCATTCGAATGAATGAAACTCTGATCCTATTCTTGCTGTGGCTGCATCTTGCAGCCGCTTAGTAGATAACTCCCTAATTCCCACGGTATCAGGGAGCTATCTAGTAAAAGGCTGAAAGACTTAAATTGGTCTTTCAGCCAACTTTACTAATACCAAGTAAAAATTACTTAGTATTAGTAAGTAATATGCCCCTACTCGCTATACTGCGAGTAGGGGCATGTCTGGTAAACAGTGAGCAGCCTGGCCTTTTTTGGGGCTGAAAAAAGATTTGAGGGGGCCGGGGGGGGCAGTAAGTCCCCCCCATTCTCATTATGGCCCCCACCCGCCGCTCAGGGGTGGGGGCCGGGGGGGGCAGTAGGTGTCCCCCCCCCTCATTCTCACTATGGCCCCCACCCGCCGCCCAGGGGTGGGGGCCGTGGGGGGCAGTAGGTCCCCCTCATTATCTTCATGGCCCCCATCCGCCGCCCAGGGGTGGGGGCCGGGGGAGCAGTAGGTCCCCCCCCCCATTCTCATTATGGCCCCCGCCCAGGGGTGGGGGGAGTACTGCCAACCCCCCCCCCCCTCATTCTCACTGTTTAGGGGTGGGGGCCAATAGGCTGCTCACTGTTTAGTGGACATGCCCCTACTCGCGGTATAGCAAGTAGGGGCATTTGGGAGATTTTTATCTCCCTTGTGCTATTATGGGGGTCATATTGACCCCCATAGAGTGAGAGGGGGTACTGGGGGGGCTTATGAAGTGGTGGGGTGCACTGCTCCCTGCCGCTTCTATAGTTACATATTACAAGGAGGGAGCTGCATGCCGGTAGCTCCCTCCTTGTAATAAACTGCACGAACAAACTAACACAGATACTCAGATACACTGATACATTGTGTTAGTTTGTTCGGCTGATATTTCTATTCACTCATTCGTCTGTCTGATGAATGAATGAATGAATGAATAGCTGAAATTCCCGTTCGCATGTGCGGGAATCTCACAGTCTGTCTAGTGTGGGCTGATGACGTGTCCCTGAGGGACTTCACCTACCCACACAAAGATGGCTGCGCCCTGAATCAAGATCGGGGCAGAAAATAAGGAATAAAAAAATAGGTAAGTTGGGGGGCTTAGGGGCATTTGGGGGTGACTAGTGAGTCAATTGGATGTAGTGGAGGCGGGAGAGGGGTTAAAAAAAAACAAAACAGAATTCGGCATGACAGTGCCGCTTTAATGCCTATAGTGTCCCTTTAAGACTTATATATTTTTATTGGATACTTGTCTGTCTTTGGGCAGATAATGATAATACACCATATTGGTTGTCTGTGACACTCCAATCACTATAGCTGCTACAGTTTTCATACTGGTTATGGTGCAAATATTTGCAGTCCATTTGGATTTTGTCAATTTTTCGATCAGTTTGACAAAAATCAGGTATGTATGTATGTATGTATGTATGTATGTATAAAATTTTTTTTTTTTTTTTTTTTAAACCTTTCCCTCTCTCCTCTACTTTATTGGTACACATATGTCCAAATTTGGCAATGATAGATTGGCCACAAGTGATAGATTATCTCATCACTCTCCAAATATTTGTACTGATAACAAGAAAATGAACCTTAGTCATTATGTCTGCAGCATTGTAGAGGCCATGGATTTGGTGCGCCCTGTTTTTGTGAACCTCTCTAATTGTTGGACAGAAACCAGATCATAAGATTTAGTGGCTTTGGTGCATTGCACCTTTTTGAAGTAACTTTGGTGTTTGTGTTTTTTTTTTTTTTTTTAAATGCTACTCCGTATACTGACCAAAAGATACCCCTGATAAAGGCAACCAGTTGGTGCCAAAACGTTGTGGGGATTGGTAGCTCGTGTTTCTGTTTTGAGGTTTGTGAGATTTAGGTAAATTACTATACGGATTACGGTTTGTCTTATCTTGTTACTTTTTTTCTTTATGTATTGATTTTCAGTTGTACTAATTAAATATTTATATTATTAATTGTGGTTGTGGTTGTTATAGTGTGCATTCTATATATCTCTCTATATATCTCTCTATATATCTCTCTATATATCTCTCTATATATCTCTCTATATCTCTACTCTGTAACACAGCCACACATGTCTATTCCATATGTGCTGCTGACTGTTTTGTTAAAGCATAACACCAATAAACATCCGGAGGTTTCTATTTTACTTTAATGTTTTGTCAGAAGTTTGCTTAGTTCAAAGTAAAATTTACCATATTGAACCTATTAAATGCTATTTAGATATGTCCACCTGCTGTATGTGAATGTATAATATTTGTAGCAACATGTTTGGCCTCCATTATAATTTTAACCATATGGCATGCTTGGGATATTTGTGCAAAATGCTTCTTTACCTGTGGAAGTCTTATTTATTTTAATTTTATTTTATTTAGTTTTAACCACGATTAGGTTTTTAGCTACCAGGATGGGCCTCTCTTCCCCGACTATTTATTTCATATGTACTGATTCACAGAGAGCATAGGGTGGTGACCTCCTCAATCCACATGCTCTGTGAGGCAGTTAAACAATGTCTCGCATACAGCACTGAGAAATTGTTACTGCCTTGTGCTTTCTGTGAGGCAGGACGTAGAGTAGAGAATAAATGGTCAGTGGATGTGCATTGTTAATGGACCACTATAGTGCCAGGAAAACCTACTCGTTTTCCTGGCACTATAGTGCCCTGAGGGTACCCCCACCCTCAGGGTCCCCCTCCCGCCCGGCTCTGGACGGGGGAATGCCTTACCTTTCTCCAGCGCCAGGCGGGGAGCTCTCCTCCGATCCTCCTTCTCTCCTCCCCGTCGGCTGAATGCGCACATGCGGCAAGAGCTGCGCGCGCATTCAGCCGGTCACATAGGAAAGCATTATCAATGCTTTCCTATGGACGCTGGCGTGCTCTCACTGTGAAAATCACAGTGAGAAGCACGCAAGCGCCTCTAACGGCTGTCAATGAGTCAGCCGCTAGAGGAAATAGGGGAAGGGTTAACCCATTGATAAGAAGTGGATTTTTAACGATTTTTTGAAGGAATGTAGACTGGGTGAGCATCTAACGGAGGAGGGATCTTAGGCCCTCGAGACATTAGGCATGTACATTATATTACCTGAATGTTGTGGATATTTCTTCTAATTAGTGGTTTTGACCTGTCCAGCCACACCTACTTTTAACATTGAGCATACACTGCGTTAAAGCAATAACTGCTCCATCAACAAGCCATAACCATGCCAACATCAGACCTTGGTTTTTTCTGTTTAGCTGCTGCCCCCAGACATTTGCTTAGTTCAAATTAACTCCCCCCTCCCACAGCAATAACCTTTCTTCAGAAAGATGAAGGGCAACAAAGATGACAGAACATTTTGTTGAAAATTGGCGACCTTGCGTTCTGTGCAGTAAGCAGCAATGTACTTTGTCCAAAATCTTTTTTTATAAGAATACCAAGGTTCTCAATGTTTAAGTTGCTTACAGTCAAGCAATGAAACCTAGTTATATTGTCTGCTTTAAAATTCATAGGCGCTATGCTTAATGGGAGCAAAACCTTTGTCTTAAATTCCTGCCCTATCACCACTGGATGGGAAAAAATCCTATAAATCTGTCAAGCATTCCCAATGTACTTTTCCAGTATTCTCTAACCTCCATGACCACTTCAGTTTTTCAACCCCTTAAGGGCACATGACATGTGTGACATGTCATGATTCCCTTTTATTCCAGAAGTTTGGTCCTTAAGGGGTTAGATGTCAACATGCTCTGCACGCTGCAGACCAGCTTAACTGTTTCTCACTGGCAGGCAGAGCCTGCAAGGAAGAAACGCATTGTCTCCTCTCCTTTCATCTCTTCCACATTGATTGCAGTAGTTATGGTGTCTGAACCATTTCTTTTAGAGGGATAAACAAAATAGGAGAGTGCTATAAGGTGGCGCTAAAAGCAGTCTTCTAAATTTAGAAAATAAAAAGGAATTATTCTACCATGGTGGCATCTTTGCACAAACTGGATCCCAAACAAGTAATTATTATCAACGTCATTTATTCTAAGAATTGCGCTCTCATATTTTATTTGATGCGAGTAATAATTAGGTTACAGTAATACGAGCAATAGAAGCAGTTTCCCCTACACATGCTCATTAGTAGGAACTGTTACCGCTGCCATGAACATTTCCTTGAACTTGAGGGGCTCTTAAAGAGCAATGACTGACTGTTTTTTAGTTATTAATCACCGTAATTTATTCCTTCTTAAGCACAGATGTTATAGCTCCTCCGTATTTGAATCGGTTTGCTTCTAAAACCTTTTTAAAAACTTCAAGATATGAGCTTGCCTAAAGGTAGTCTCTCTGCTTTTAAGGTGCAGAACCCAACATATTCAAAATGTTAACAGTTTTAGAGAAGCCACGTCAGCTTTTATGCTTTTTAGTCACTAGAAAAACTACAACTTAATGTAACTGTTCTGGTGTGAATAGTATGTCCAAGCAAGCTTTTTGCTGTAAATACTGCCTTTTCAGAGAAAAGGCAGTGTTTACATTGCTACTTAGTTATTCCTCCAGTGACAGTCACTCAGACAGGTGCACAGCATGCAGCACTGATGTTCAGCGCCTCCACGCTCTGCTTGGAAATACTGAAGGCTCTCCATAGAGATGCATTGATTGGCCAGCATGGCGTTTGGCTTTGCCCCATTTCCTCCTTGGAAAAAAAAGGTAAGTTTTTTTTTTTTATTATATATTTTTAAATGGGACAAGGAGGGACTGGCCATCTATACAGTGTTTTTAACACTATAGAGTCAGGAATACACCTTTGTATTCCTAAACTTGGTGTTATTTTAACCCCTTAAGGACCAAACTTCTGGAATAAAAGGGAATCGTGACATGTCACACATGTCATGTGTCCTTAAGGGGTTAGCTGGAAACCCTGAAGCTCATCCTTTCACACCCTCTTCCACTCTGCTGGGAAGCCTAGAGAGTCTTGTGTTGTCTTAGTGGGATGCTCATGCCCCTGTAGAAGTTTCCTAAAAACTCAGTTGAATGTGCAAATTATTTATGTGGTTTCAGACTGTAGGAGATTAATCCTTTAAAGGAACACTATAGTCTCCTAAATTACTTTAGCTAAATAAAGCAGTTTTAGTGTATAGATCATTCCCCTGCAATTTCACTGCTCAATTCACTGTCATTTAGGAGTTAAATCACTTTTTGTTTCTGTTTATGCAGCCCTAGCCACACCTCCCCTGACTATGATTGACAGAGCCTGCATGAAAAATAAAAACTGGTTTCACTTTCAAACAGATGTAATTTACCTTAAATAATTGTATATCAATCTCTAAATTGAACTTTAATCACATACAGGAGGCTCTTGCAGGGTCTAGCAAGCTATTAACATAGCAGGGGATAAGAAAATCTTAATTAAACAGAACTTGCAATAAAGAAAGCCTAAATAGGGCTCTCTTTACAGGAAGTGTTTATGGAAGGCTGTGCAAGTCACATGCAGGGAGGTGTGACTAGGGTTCATAAACAAAGGGATTTAACTCCTAAATGGCAGAGGATTGAGCAGTGAGGCTGCAGGGGCATGTTCTATACACCAAAACTGCTTCATTAAGCTAAAGTTGTTCAGGTGACTATAGTGTCCCTTTAATAATGTGCTTGCTTGAGATGAAATGTTTGCAGTAATGTAAGCAATAGGACCTCTCTGTTTGCAAGTGAATAATTTTAGTCTTCTTTCTGTACATTGAGTATAGCAGTGGGCTCTTTCCCTAGTACTTTCTGTTGTTACCCCGTATTTCTATGTAATGCAGCTTACTCAACTGTTATTGGTGACCTCATCTGTCAGCCGTGGAAATATGCACATGCATTGGTCGTCCCATAGAGAATGTGTAATCTAAACAGTCTGCATGGGTAGGGTGCCATTGCCTTTAAAGTGAAAATTTTAGTTTTCATCAAAACTCACAAAAAGTGGTCCTGACGCTCTCAGCCTATGAAGTTTTCTTGCTACTGCAGCTTTTCAGAAGCTGAAAGTGCTTCTCTGAACCACCAGGGAGCATCAGAACCCAGTGAGGACCCAGGTAGGAGAGCAAACCATTGCTAAGCGTTTTATCCCAATACTGCGCCCTGGGACAGGCAGTGGAGTAGCAATTTATATGCCAAATTGCATCTGATAGCTGCCCAAGTGGCCACAAATGTGTCAGTGGATGGAGGAGAGCCAAAGTTATTGAATGATACATAGATTTTCTCCTGGGCCATGGACCTAGTCTTGCTGTTGAATGCAGTGACTGTTTTTACGTCGAGTAGTCCGTAAGTGGTTGAACAATTATCTAGTCTTAATTTTGGGATTGAATAAAGACACATTTCAAACAGTCCCTTTTTTATAATGACCTTTTTTTTAACAAACCAGCAATCCTTGTTAGTGTACTGTGGACTGCAGTTGTGACCCCTATGCCCTTGTTAAACAAAGTAGCACACTGATCGGTATTTCATATAACTCTATACAGCTGTAATTATTCAATGATACTTTTTTCTACATTACAATGTATATTTAGACTGATCTTTTGATTGTTGATTTTGTGCCCTGCTGCATGTCCTCTGCAATGTATTCCTGACCTGTCTGTCAACTTCTAGGATACCTGTATTTAAAAATAAATAAATAAATATTGGTCCATGGATCATGCTGAGTTTTGCTGCCAAGCCCCACTGCCTTAAGATGTTTGCATAAGGGATTCCTTGTGGGTAAGGAGGCCCTGTGGGGAAGCATCAGACTTGAACTCCTAAGTAGAATGCGATTGAGCGACTTACAAAAGGAGTCTCATGTTACAGGATGTGGGAAAGCTAGGGACTGGGAGATGAATTTTGCAGCCCTCAGTGAATGTATGCTGTTTACAAAAGAAAAAAACCATTCCAGCAGGATGAGAAAATTGTTGGTGATGGAAGTGCAAGCTGACTATTTTGTTACAGCTGCTACTACTACAATTATACTGGAGGCTGCTACATAGAAATTTCTCTTGTATATGAAAAAGCGCTACTTGCAAAAAAAGAAATGTATCTGTTGCATCCTAGTGCATCTTTGTATTTTAATCCGTTTTCCTGCGTAGCAAAGTTTTACTGTAAGGGGAGCACTTGGAATATATGTCCAGTGATGCCAGAGATATTAGGGATTTAAGGCCATATGCCATTTTCCCAATGTTTTCAACATGAGCAGTTTCAGGTTTAGAATAGTATCTTGAGGAGTCTGTGAACCCTTCAGAATGATCTATAATCCTGTATTCTAATAAGAGGAGCATATCCTTAAACCACTTAAGTGATCCTAGAAATTTTTTTTTTTTTTTTTTTTTAAATTTGTATTTTATTAGCTTTATACAGACAGGTATATTGCAGGTCAGTAACTGGTTAAGAAATTAGTCGTATTGTGCGGTTCACCATCCGGCATACATGAAACATGTACGTCAGCAGAACATAAACAATAACATTGTGGGCATAGCATTGTGACAAACAAAACATTATGGTGTGGGATTGCTAGTTGTGTCCTGGGGTGGCCACTGAAGTGGTGCAATGCAGTGGGCTCTATTGATTAGGAGCGGACTTTGTGGGCCTTTTGTGGCAAGAGTCAGGTCGTAAAGTCCATGCTTTGACCTCTGCTTTGAGGTTGGGCTCGGGCGTGTAATGTCTACATCCTCCCAGTCAGGGTCTCAATTGCCCAGGAACACCATAGCTTGGGTAGCTTCTGTGGGGCGCTTCCTCCCGGGTTCCCCCTGGTTATCAGCTTTTTGTTCGGGGTGGTGTCAGCTATTGTGCTCGGGGTTTTGTGGTTGATCCTCCATTTGTCCTGTTCTGACGTGAAGGTGTTTAGTTGGTCTCCACTTGGGACTAATTATGCTCCATCTATAGCACACCTCTCGGTCCCTGAGCTGTTTGGCGACTGGTGCCAGTTTGCGTTTCTCCACCAGCACCGCAAATGGTATGTTATCATATATTGTTAACACACTGTTCTCAAACTTGACCGTGCCCATCTCCTGTGAGCAGGCCATGATTGTGGCATGAACCTCTATTTCCTTTGTCACAATTATGGCATCTCTCGGTGCATCAGCCGGTGCAGTAGCGGCCTTTTGGATGCGGAAAGCCGACATGAGCATGAATGGGTCATTTCTGTTTTTAAGGCCCATGAATATGAAGTGTCTCTGGGCATATGGTAGGAGCTCCTCCCCACTAACCTCTTCTGGGATCCCTCTCAGTCTGACGTTCCAGCGTCTGTGTCTTGATGCCATGGTTCTCTGCATTTGTCTGACTTGTTGAGTAGCTCTGTTAATTTCATCTCTGTACCCTGTATCCTTTCGTCTCTGGCTTTCGCTCTCTCTCTCTCCTCCACCCTTGTTGCCCTCTGAGTCACAACACTTATCTCCTGATGTGCCTCATGGAGATCCTCCTTCTACACATTGCGGAGGTCTTGGAGCAACCTTTTCATATCCTCTCTTGTGGAGGGTGTCGAGTCATTCTCAGACTTTGAATTGCAGTCGGCGTCGCTGGGGTGTCAGCAGGCGCGGGATTCTGCCTCCTCTTGTGATTTCTTGTGTCTTCTGCCTCTGGTTGCATTGCCAGCGCCATTTTAGGTGGCTTGTGTGTCGTAGGCCTCTCGAATGAGAGCCGTATGTCAGGCAGTCTAGGACCCTTGGGCACTCTGAACCTTTTATTTTTCTTGACAATTATGTCTTCTGGTTGGGGCAGCTCTGCTGGAGGTCAATAGCCAGTTATTCGCCGCGAGTTGTCGAGTTTTCCAGCCGGAGCTCCAGCAGCACACATCTTTCCAGTTACTCGGTCAGCCCCTCCCCTACCTTCCCAAGATCCTAGAATTTTAAATCTTGGTGGTGGGTTGGGGCGCCAAAAATTTTTCCTCCAGACTCACTAAATTTATGAGAACAGATTTCCTATCCTTTCCTGTGAAATAGAATGTGTACCATATGCGCAGAGCTTTAGAACTATGTCAAAGTATTCAGATTGAAATCACACAATTAATGTGGCGTTTTAAATTGATAAAAAATAATAATTGCAGCTAGATGGATAAAGGCATAGTTACACCATTAACGGGCATATCCATGTGCACTGTACATGGCACTTGGAGTGGATATTAATTGAGGAGAGGTTTAGTAAAGTAGAGGGAACGCCACATTGTGCTTTGCTGGTATTTTCGTTGTAAGCACTAGTAGACTGGCATCTCATTATTAAAGGGTAGTTTTTAATAGATCTCCTTCACCCAGAGGCCCTAGTGTGTGTTAATCCCTCGCTGGTATTGGGAGAATAGATTGGAGTGGAGCCTTTGGTTTACACCTGGTTTAGAAGGTCCTCTGGATCGCTTAGTCTTGTTTTATAGAGGAGAAATGTTTCTGGCTCCACCAGATTACAGGGTCTGTGGGCATCCAGATGTAACCCTCATCCCATGAACCAGTCATTTGGATTCCATTAAACCTGGAAGTCTTTCTTTCTGGGTTATGGTTGTCTCTATTTGAATGAACCACGCACTTTACATTTGTACTTAATTCCCGCTGTCTGGATGTGCCATTTAGTTTCAGTGGCGTGTTCGTTTTGTGGAGACTGGTCATTTTGTTTCTTGGTATTGCTGTGCAAAGCACCCCTTAGGTTGTGTTTAAGATCTTGGATGTTGGCCAATACAAAAGAAGTATCTTCAAACTAATACCGTTTGGTGTATTCCTTGTGGTATCACTTATAGTTGAATTGTTAAAGGAACATTATAGTCCCCTAAATAAAGCAGTTTTAGTGTATATAGATCATTCCCCTGCAATTTCACTGCTCAATTCACTGTCATTTAGGAGTTAAATCACTTTGTTTCTGTTTATGCAGCCCTAGCCACACCTCCCCTGGCTATGATTGACAGAGCCTGCATGAAAAAACTGGTTTCACTTTCAAACAGATGTAATTTACCTTAAATAATTGTATCTCAATCTCTAAATTGAACTTTAATCACATACAGGAGGCTCTTGTAGGGTCTAGCAAGCTATTAACATAGCAGGGGATAAGAAAATCTTAATTAAACAGAACATGCAATAAAGAAAGCATAAATAGGGCTCTCTTTACAGGAAGTGTTTATGGAAGGCTGTGCAAGTCACACGCAGGGAGGTGTGACTAGGGTTCATAAACAAAGGGATTTAACTCCTAAATGGCAGAGGATTGAGCAATGAGGCTGCAGGGGCATGTTCTATACACCAAAACTGCTTCATTAAGCTAAAGCTGTTCAGGTGACTATAGTGTCCCTTTAATTGTGAAGTAAATGTAGCGAAGAGTAACAGTGTCTATTTTCCTCTATTTGTACACTGTGGGGCTGACAGTAGATTGAGTATTTAGTTTTTAATCTGTAAATCTTCCCAGCTTTCTATACTAAACAAGTTGACGTTCACTGTTAAATATGATTTTAATTTAAAAATATTTATTTTATTTTATTTTTTTATTTTTTGGGGGGTCTGTTTTAAAACTTGGATATATACTGCAACTTTAGATTATTTGAAAATTGTAATATTCAGATGATTGTACATGATATTCTATGAATAAATTGATTTATTACTGGTATTTATAAAGCGCCAACCGATTCTGCATCGGTACAATATCATTTAAACTTTGTATATGTGCATTGATTGCACATTTAAGAGATTTATATCTTAACCTATTGGTTTAGCCAGTATTCTGCATAATTTTAATCTATAATTTAAATATTTGCTTCACCACAAGACTTCCAGGAAAATCATTTTTATATTTTAAAAACAAAAAAACTTAAATTTTTATGGATCCTGAAATCAACATTCTCACCACTACATGGTTAAATAACTTGATGCATACGGGGCAGGGACGTATACTACAGTCATACACTTCACAACCCCTTAATAGTTGGGAACTAGATCAGCCAGTGAGCAGAGATGCTTAGTGGGTGTAATGCTGGAGCAAAGTGTGTGAGACAGGGGAACCCGTCTGATACAAAACAGTTTCCCAGGAAACCAGAGGGTGGCGGAAGGAAGGGGAGTGTGGATTTTCTTGTTCCAAACAGATAAAGAGGAAGAAAGGAGGAGGGGAGGAGAGGGAACTAGGGAGCAGTGGACCTTGGGATCTTTCATTCTCGCTTCCCATTCTTTTTTTCATTTTTGCCAGATGTGAAAGATTCTTTTACTTTTCCTTATTTGCTTTTTTTTTTTTTTTTCTCTTGCTCTTATGTTGCTGTTAAGAAGTCTTAAAGTCCCCTGTAGGGGTGTGTGGAAAAGGCAGACATGGAAATAGTTGTCTCTGACTGTGAAAGCGTATTCTGCTTGCTTATTGCCCTGGTCTCTCATGCTTGGTATACTGTGAGTATTTAAATATGCTCTGAAAATGACAGGAACAGAAAGCCATCTACAAAAGGTGCTTTATTACATTTTTGGGTTCTATTTATCACAATTGATTTTTGTGCTTTGACAAGAAGAGCAAAGTGGTGCTGCCAAAAAAACAAAGATGGGATGTCTAAGCTCAGTCCCGCAAGAAGAGGTCTCCTTGGCAAGGTCAGTTGGGTTTTGTGGTAGAAACATAATTGTTGATCAACGTGGTTTTGGCCCTTGTATGTTTTTGTAGAGGTATGGATGTATAAAGGCATGTATCTGTAAATGGGTGAGAGACCAGGCTAAGGAGGTGGGGGAGTGAGGGCACGGATTCAGCTGAGAAAGTTGGATTCCGATAGTTGCTTGGTTTTGTTTCCAAAGCTGTTTGAACTTGCTTCTCATGAGAATGTGGGTCTCATATTTCCTCTCTTGGGGAGTTCAGTGCTGACATGGTGTGTGAAAGTGTAAGAGCTGTTCTTCCAGACCAGTTAAACCATCAAACTTTAGTCAAGCCCTCTCATATACTACTGATGTTGACCAATCTGTTTGTTTGCTTTTTTTTTTATTTTTTTTTTAAACATTATAGGAATGATATACAAATAAAATATATATATATATATATATATATATATATATATATATATATATAAAATTTTGTTTTGTTTTTTTAAAAAATTGTAAAAGGAGCAGAGGTATTTTGTAACGACACCACACACATTTGCAATGATCAATCAGGTTCTATGTTAACAGGATCTAGACTGAATTGGCAGCGGGCATGAAACATAACCATTTTGTGTACAACCGTAGACTAAACAACATTCTTTGCATGTCCATTGACTTGCTTGGATTGGAGCTTTACATGCTACTTGCCAGTTTGGGGAAATGTGCAGATTAATATTACAGTGAAGGAAGCTGAATTCATGAGAATTTCTGTGGGTTTCCTTAAATGTATGAATGAGTGCTGTGTCTGGTATAAATAAATTTAAGAACACTAAATGTTCTTGGGATTAGGAGATGCCCATCACTCACAGCCAGTACACCAGTGATTAATGCTTATGGCTGACTTTTGCAAAAACACATATAGGAATGGTATTTACTGGGCTACCAACAAATATTTGAATACAAGTTAAAGAGTAAAACACGTGAATAAGGCGACAAAGGTAATGGGTTTTAAACGTTGTTAGTGTAAATTCTCTCTAATGTTTTTTTGTAGGTCTAGGGGTGTCTGTAAAAATAAAATGTATATTTATTTGTGGTTATCTGTATAAATGAATTCCATTGACTGCAATCTTAGTGGCTTTGGAATATGTATATGTATATATGTATATATGTATATATATATGTATGTATATGTATGTATATTTATGTATGTATGTTGAATCACCTGGCTTCTCTCTACAATGTGTGGTTTATTTTACTCTTAAATTAATTTTATTTTGTATTTTCTGTAAACTAGCGATATCTTGTCCAGTCTTATGAATAAATATGATATGGGAATAATAGGCAGAGGGGCATACTAGAAAAGAAGTTCAAAGTTGTTGTGTGGAGGGGAGTGGGTGTTTATCATAGAACTTCATGGTGCAGTGTTTTTCACTAAATGTATTTTTGAAGTTATCAGTCCTGAGTCTTGTGGTTTCGCTGGTTTAATTGTCAAAATGTCAGGGCTGCACACTCTGGACAGTGCCAGTTAATTTGATTGCGTAATTTGATGTTTGACACCTGTATCAAATGTAAATGATGGCTTCCATAGAAGCTGGTATTCAAATGTTGGTTACTAGAATTGTTGGGTTGCTTCATACTGCTGTTATAGATGGTTAGAATGTGGATTTATCTCAGAGCAATGAGACCTTGTCATTTACCTATTTTTTTTCTTTTCTTTTTTTTTTTTTTTCTTTCCCAGGAACACCTCTGGCCGGGAAAGCAGCTTTGTGGAAAAAATGAAGAAGACGGTGAGTGTGACTACCATTTATACTCAGTCATTTTTACTATGTTGCAACATGGAGACACTTTGTCATAACCCTCAAACCTTTGCTACTTGCATTCCGGTGGTTTATGAGCAGAATAAAAACATTCTCACTGCATGTTTTTGTCTTGTTTCTCCCATTACTGTATGGTCCAGTCCATGTTAACAGGATAGGCATATTGGTGTGTATTTTATTTTATTTTGTTTTGTTGGCTCCCCCTCATTTGTGCGAGAGAACAATTAAGAAAGTGTCCATTGTGTAAATACAGGTGTTAATATAATAATTATGTTGGTTCTGTGTATTGTAGATTTAATAAATAAAATTAGGGACTACAAACCAACTCTGAAAAGCTTATATACCACCAACCAAAAAAGCACACACCGCATTGTTGATCCTCAAATTTCATATGTAAGGCTGGTGATAAGCATATGGGCTTGATATCTCAACACTGGAAGAGCTTTTCCTGTCAATTTTCCTCACCAATACAAAATGTGTGTGCATGGACATTTACAGTGCCTTGCAAAAGTATTCACCACCCTTGGCATTTTGCTTGTTTTGTTGCCTCACGACCTAATTAACATGGATTGTTTGAGGATTGGCCTCATTTAATTTACAGAACATGCCCACAACTTTCAAGATCTTTGTTTGAGTTTTATTTTTATTTATTTTTTTTATTGTGAAGCAAACCACAAATAGGACAAAATAACATACAAAGTCAATGTGCATAACTATTCACCCCCCTAAAGTCAATACTTTGTAGAGCCACCTTTTGTGGCAATCACAGCTCCAAGTTGCTTTGGATAAGTCTCTAGGAGCTTGCCACATCTTACCACTGGGATTTTTGCCCATTCCTCCTTGCAAGTTGGATGGTTTGCGCTTGTGAACAGCAATTTAAGTTTCTATTGGATTGAGGTCTGGGCTTTGACTAGGCCATTTCAACACATTTATATGTTTCCCCTTAAACCACTCAAGTGTTGCTTTAGCAGTGTGTTTGGGGTCATTGTACTGCTGGAAGGTGAACCTCCGTAGAGGTTTTGCTAAAAAAAAAAATATACCTGTATTAGCATGATCCATCTTTCCCTCAACTCTGACCAGCTTCCCAGTCCTGGCACATCCCCACAGCATGATGCTGCCACCACCATGTTTCACTGTGTGGATTTTGTTCTTTGGGTGATATGATGTGTTGGGTTTGCGCCAGACATAGCGTTTTCTTTGGCTTAAAAGTTCAATTTTAGTCTCATCAGACCAGAGCACCTTCCTCCATACATTTTGGGAGTCTCCCACATGCCTTTTTGCAAACTCAAAAGGTGCCATTTTGTTTTTTGTTGAAAGTAATGGCCACTCTGCCATAAAGCCCAACTCTATGGAGCGTACGGCTTATTGTCGTCCTATGTACAGATACTACAGTGTCTGCTGTGGAACTCTGAAGCTCCTACAGGGTTATCTTAGGTCTCTGTGCTGCCTCTCTGATTAATGCCCTCCTTGCCCGGTCCGTGAGTTTTGGTGGGCAGCCGTCTCTTGGCAGGTTTGCTGTTGTGCCATGTTCTTTCCATTTGGTTATGATAGATTTGATGGTGCTCCTGGGGATCATCAAAGATTTGGATATTTTTTTTATAACCTAACCCTGACTTGTACTTCTCAACAACTATGTCCCTTACTTGTTTGGAGAGTTCCTTAGTGCTCATGGCAGTGTTTGGTTAGTGGTGCCTCTTGCTTAGGTGTTGCAGCCTTGGGGGCCTTTCAAAAAAGGTGTGTTGATGATGATCATGTGACCCTTAGATTGCCCAGGTGGACATCATTTCACTAATTATGTGACTTCTGAAGGTAATTTGTTGCACCAGAGCTTTTTATGGGCTTCATAAGAAAGGGGGTGAATACATACGCATATGCCAATTTTCTGTTTTCTATTTCAAAAAAAATAGTTTTATGTATATATTTTTCTCATTTCACTTCACCAATTTAGACTATTGTGTTCTGATCCATCACTTAAAATTCAGATTAATGAAACATTGAACTTAAGGCTGTAATGTAACAAAATAGTTTAAAAAGTCAAGGGGGTGAATACTTTTGCAATGCACTGTACATAATGTTTTAAGGGGACTAATGTATTTAGATGCTATCAAAGGTCTTTATGGAATTGTGATAACAACCTGTAAATTAATTTATTTTTTTGCTTGTTTTCCAATAGGGAAAAAACATAGTGGTATTTTATGGCTCACAGACTGGAACTGGAGAAGAATTTTCCAATCGACTAGCAAAAGATGCTCACCGTTATGGCATGAGAGGGATGTCTGCTGACCCGGAGGAGTATGAGATGGTACAGCTATAGAAGCTTTACTTGAATACAGTTGTGTGCGTGTGAACTGCATAACTTGAGGATCCATGTGTATTTGCAAGTGTATATAATTGTCAATGCTGAGGGGCTGAAATATTAGAGTTATTGTTGGACCTAATGACTCCAATAAGATGGCTGCAGTGCCAAAATGGATCCCTCAACAATTAGAACGGACATTGTAGTCTGAAGACATCCATTTGGCTCATTTTAAAATTAAATGTAAACCTGCAATGTGAAAAATGCCTTTCCAGACTATATATAACTTTTTTACATTGCTTGTGTGTTTTGTGTCTAGTTCTCCTTGCACTAGGTCATATGTATGGCCTTTGTGTATACTTTTTAGAATGGCAGTCCTGCTATGCACTTCAGTTTTGTGAACTTTTTGAGTTGAAGAGGTCTGGTTCACGTGTTCATTTTTGATTCTTTACTATTGATGCATTTAGTACCCTGCCAATAAAGTGTCCCACAAATTGCTTAACATTTTAACTATAGTAGTATCCTCTTTAATGAAGTTTGCGTGTAGACTCTGCTGTCATGACATATTAAAAATGTTGCAGATTTGCTGTTTTTTTATTTATTTTTATTTTTTAAACCTGCTATTAAGACACTGAATATTTGACTCCCCGTAACTGTTAAATACCTCCTAATTTACAGAACACTTGCATATCAAAGAGCGAATTGTCAGACATATATTTTGTAGATGAAACACACTGGTGAAATGACTCGCATTCAGGGGCATTTGTTAGTTTTCTTTACTTCACCTTTAAACTCATTTCATATGACTATTGTGTTGTGCCTCCCCCCCCCCCCTTATTGTGAAATTGATTAATCCTTTTTGTTAAAGGGACACTATAGTCACCAGAACAACTACAGGTTAATGTAGTTGTTCTGGTGAGTATAATGGCTCCCTTCAGGCATTTTCATGTAAACACTGCCTTTGCAGAGAAAAGTCTGAGGTGTCCCTAGGAGCAATGAAAACACAAAGTGGCCACTCCTTAGATGGCCTCTGAAGGGGCTTCCTGGCTCAGCAGGAAGCAGCCCTGCCGTTTGGCGTCCCCACGCTCTGCATGGGGGACGCTGAATTTTCCTCATAGAGATGCATTGATTCAAGGCATCTCTATGAGGAGGTGCTGATTGGCCAAAACAGTGTTTGGCACCGCCCCCTTGCCGATTTTTAGCCAATCCAATGCTTTCCCCATGGGAACATTTTGATGTCACCAAGAGGGTGGGGCCAGTGCCAGCAGAGGCTCGGGCAAACCACCTGTTTGGTGGGTTTTCACTATAGGGTCAGGAATACAGGTTTGTGTTCCTGACCCTATAGTGATACTGTAATGTGTATTGGCATATACATAAAATTATAATTAAACTTTAGCAGTTGCTAGTTGTACGGTCTGTTTGGAAACACAGAGGTAGATTAAACTTTTTTTTAAACTAATACAGTATTTGATGTTTTCTGGAAGATTATTCCAATGTTGTACATCTCTATAGACTAATGACATGCCATCAATTTAATAGGGAGTAAAAGTTCCAGTGAACCAATTCTGTTAAGGCTCAGCCACAGAGTCTGAGCAGCATGTTTAATGCACATAGGCAAAGTCATAGCCAGGCCAGGAACGTAAATTGGTTTTGAGTTTTGGCCAATTTGGATATTTTAATCTTTACTACATGTTCAATACTATTAGTACAATTCATTAGTTCTGCCCGACTATCGGTTTTCAGAGTATAATACATGCAAATGCCCTTCATTTTTGTTACTGGTTTTCATTATTCTTTAGTATTTAGCAAGAGCCGGCATGTTCCACAGTGATTTAGATCTTGAACGAAGGTTTAACAAGTGTATCAAAAAGAACATTTTAAATTATTGCCAGAATTCCCCTAAAAAAAAAAAAAAAAGTTCCAGACAATAAAATGATTGCAGATCTCTTCCCAGTGACCAACACAATTGGCTTTGTTCTGCTTGGTGCTTCGGTTGTCACATCCAACCTGTATGACCTCTGTTAAATTCAGTCTACTATAGATCTTCCTTCACTCTTAATGTCATTGCATATTTTTGACATTGCAGCAGATGGCAGTGCACTTGTATATCATGGCACATTGTCGTCAGGGCTTTTGTTTGCCTGGATTTGTTGTCTCTTACTGCATGTTTAATCAATTAGTACATTCCTTAAAGACAAACAAATAAAACTATGCATGCAAAGATCAGTGCTTATTAAAAGCAGTCATCCACAAGAAGCCACCACTATTTGGTGGTCTTGGCCTTTTCATCCATGAAAACTGTAATTGCGCAATGAAAGACAGATTCATTGACTAGCTAGACATTCCTGAGTCTTATTCATTGCAAAGTTTTTTTTTTTTTTTTTTTTTAAACTAGTTCTATGCCAGCATTGTTAATGGCCACCATGTGAAACGGTCATGAGATTAACTTAGAGTGAAATATGTCCTCTGTTAGTTTTTGATTTTGAAATATTTTTTTAAAAGTTCATGTAAGAGAATGTAAGTCATGTTTTTGTGGGTGTAGGGGAGTCCATGAAGAATCTGTACTTGTGGAATACAGATTCATCCTATCCGTGAAGTAGAACACACATGTGCTCCTACTGGCTCATGAGGCTGCAACCTTTAGTGTCTCTGAGTGGTCAGGATGGATCCCTCTGTGTACATATAGTCCGGATGAGTGTACAGTTGCCATATCCTTGGGTTTTACTCCTCTAATGTGTTAAAATAAATCCCCACGCATTTTTTATTTAATTTTACAGGCTGACCTAAGTCGTCTTTCTGAAATCGAGAATGCTCTTGCTGTATTCTGCATGGCCACTTATGGTGAGGGGGATCCTACAGATAATGCTCAGGACTTCTATGACTGGCTACAGGAAACAGACACTGATCTCTCTGGTGTAAAGTTTGCTGTGAGTATCAATTGCAATGTTGTCCTATGTCTGTATGTAAATCATGGAACATGGCTTTACACTGGTAAACCACAGCATTAAAACCACTGACCGGTGAAGTGGATAGCATTGATTATGCTGTTACAATGGCACCTGTCAAGTGGTGTGGTACATTAGGCAGCAAGTGAACAGTCCGTTCTTGAAATTCGTGTGTTGGAAGCTGGAAAAATGGGCAAGTAAAAAGATCTTGGGGACTTTGGCGAGGGCAAAATAGTGATGGCTAGATGACTGGGTCAGAGGATCTCTAAAACGGCAAGTCTTGTGGGGTTTTCCGGTATATAGTTGTTGGGAACTTTTAAAAAAAAAAAGGAAAGGCAACTGGTAAACGGACTTCAGGGTCATGGGCTCCCAAGGCTCATTGACGCACGTGGGAAGCGAAAGCTATCCTGTCTGGTCCAATCACACAGAAGAGCTACTGTAGCCTAAATTACTGAAAAACGGAATACTGGACATGATGATGAAAAGGTGTCAGAACACACAGTACTTCCCGGTTTGTGGTGTTTGGAGTTGTGTAGCCGCAGATCAGTTAGAGAGCTCATGATTTCCCCTGCTAGAAGCGCCCTCAATGGTGACGTGAAGGTTGGCTGGTCTGATGAATCACAATTTCTTTTAGATCAGGTGAATGGCCAGGGCATGTGCGTGGTTTACCTGGGGAAGATATGACCGCATGATGCACTATGGGGAAAAAGGGAAGTTATGCCATGGACAACATTCTTCTGGTAAATATTAGGTTCTGGCATTCATGTGGATGTTATTTTGACACGTACCATCTACCTAGAAATTGGTGCAGACCAGGTACATCACTTCATGCCAGTGGTGTTCCCTGATGACAGCAGCCTCATTCAGTAGGATAATGCACCCTGACACACACACACCACACCACACCACACCACACCACACACCACACACCACACACCACACACCCTTGAGAGTTGAAGGCAATTGACCTTTAATGTGGATAAGTGCAAGATAATGCATCTTGGGCGTAGAAACCTACGGGCAGAGTATAGACTATTTGATACCCTACTAACCTCAACATCTGAGGAAAGGGATTTAGGGGTGATTATTTCTGATGACTTAAAATTAGGCAGACAATGTAATAGAGCAGCAGGAAATGCTAGCAGAATTCTTGGTTGTATAGGGAGAGGTATTAGCAGTAGAAAGATGGAAGTGCTCATGCCATTGTAGAGAACATTGTACGAGACATGGGGCATATGAAACATTTAAATACATAAAGGGAATCAACACAGTAAAGGAGACTATATTTTAAAAGAAGAATAACTACCAAAACAAGAGGACATATTCTTAAATTAGTGGGGCAAAGGTTTTAAAAAAATTTTTTCAGGAAGTATTACTTTACTGAAAGGGTAGTGGATGCATGGAATAGCCTTCCAGCTGAAGTGGTAGAGTTTAACACAGTGAGGGAGTTTAAGCATGTGTGGGATAGGCAGAAGTCCTATAAGATAAGGCTAGGGACCAATGAAAAGTATTTTGAAAATTGGGAAGACTAAATGGGCCGACTGGTTCTTATCTGCCTTCCCATTCTATAAGGCAAGAGTTCCCAATTAATTTTTCCCGTGGAACCCTTTGACAAAGTTTATCAACAACGTGAAACCCCCCCTTTTTTTTTGTGTATCTATTTGACACACAGATACACACATAGTGACACCCACACTGCATCAAGGTGTGTGTGTGTGTGTATAAATCTGACACACAGATGCACGCAACTTGACACACAGTGTGTTTGTTTGTATGTGCCGTTGTGTATATCTGTGTCAGTGGTTACTGTGTGTGTGTATATCTCTCTAATCTCAATCCTCTGATGCACCCACACACTTTTATTATTTTTAGATTTTACTCCACTCAGCCTTTGGGAGTGCTGGCATGGAGTCTCTAGTGGGGCTACTGGGCTGAGCGAGCGGTCCCTGGGGTCCAGTGGGGCTGCTGAGCAGCTGGTGTGCAGGTGGTGAGGGAGCAGTGATCTCCTTGCTCAGCTCCCTCGTGCGCCTCTTAGTGTGGCTGGAGCTGGAGTGACGTCATATTCCGGCTCAAGCATCACTGCTGTGCGCGAGGGAACTGAGCAGGGAGATCACTGCCATTTTGTTTTTTAAACTTTTGGCGGAACACCAATTGGGAAACGCTGCCATAATGTATTGACTTGGCCTTCAAATTCCCCAGATAATCTGTGCATATGTGGGGAGTGCTGGAACAAATAATCTGATCCATGGAGCCCTTACCCCGCAACTCGAAGGGCTTAAGTTATTTGCTGCTCATGTCTTGGTGCCATATACTAAGACCTGTTCAGAGGTTGATTGGAATCAATGCCTCGGCGTATCATAACTGTTTTGGCAGCATTAGAGAGACCTACATGATATTGGGCAGGTGGTTTTATTGTTGTGGCTGATATGTGTATATGACGTTTCTATTGGACATAAATTGAAGCTTACCTCTCAATTTCCTGTGAAATGACAGAATTGGCTTTGGCACAAATTTTGTGACATGGTCTAACTTATACCTCATTTGATTGTTCCGACTTTGACAAATATCCATAAATGTATGATTATGCATGAGGACAATATTTCTAGGAGTAAACTAACTCTCATATTTTCTTTTTTTTTTTATTGTAAAATTCTCTGCAGGAGTCCTATGTATTTGTTATACAAGGTTAAATGGTTTATTTGAAAAGGAACTCTGTTTTTTGTAACTCTGTCTATTCAAATATTTCAGGTTTTTGGACTTGGCAATAAGACATATGAGCACTTTAATGCCATGGGTAAATATGTGGACAAGCGGCTGGAGGAACTAGGAGGGGAGCGCATCTATGAACTAGGCATGGGAGATGATGATGGCAAGTAAGTTAAGCAGCCGGGATAACTGATGGTGGCTAGTGTAATAGAAACCTAGGCTGTTTAGGGAGTTCTTCAGAACAAACATTCTTGTGCTACATCTCTGCTTATAAATGTTTGCTTGTTGAGTCCACGTCAAAGTAATATTGCCTCCATATTTTTTTTGTTTTGTTTTTTTCAGTTTGGAAGAAGATTTCATCACGTGGCGTGAGCAATTTTGGCCAGCTGTGTGTGAGCACTTTGGAGTAGAGGCAACAGGAGAAGATTCCAGGTGAGCCTCAGACCATTTTCTTTGCAGCCTTCTCTAACTTGTCATAAATTATGTAAATTGCCTTGTTATCGTTTGCAGTACATGTTCATCAATGTACATTTTTGACAAGTGGCAGAATACCATTAAAGTAGTAACTTCTATATTGCCTTATGACATACATGAAAATTAGAGAAAGCTGATATCCTCTTTCCTGGTAACCGTTTGACATTTATATTTTTACTGGTTCAGTTATGTATAGTTAAAGGAACTCTATATGATCAGAAACACAAACCTGTATTCCTGACCCTATAGTGTTAAAAACACCATCTGCCCATTCTTGCCCCCCTAAATGTAGAAAATCTTACTTCTATTCCAGTCTGTTGTTGGCTCTGCCCTTGATCTGGCTGACTTCATCAGAAGTTATGATTGAGCCAATCACAATGTTTAATCCATTGTCCTTATTACAATGCTTAAATGTTATTTAGTTTAGAAATACATTGTGTGTGTGTGTTTGTCTTTTATGCTTGTGCTTGGGGTTTTTTTTTTTTTTTTTTTTTACATTTCCCAATACCAATGTGTTTCAATTTCTCTTAAATATAACTTCACCTGCTCCCACAGTATCCGTCAGTATGAACTTGTGGTGCACACAGACGAAAATATGAACAAAGTATACACTGGAGAGATGGGTCGACTTAAAAGTTATGAGACACAAAAACCGTAAGTATGCCTAGTTGTTTTGTCTGGCTTCACACTTGATCTGTGGAATGCAAGTTGGTCTCTAAAGATGGCAACATATGATTTGATAAGCGAAATGTTAAAAGAATGTGAAATCTATTGCTCCCAGAACCTTGGCCAAACCTACCTTTTTATAGAAATCCCTCTTCATGATATGCCAGCCTTCATTTATTGTGGGAAAGGGAATGAACATCTAACAGTGAGTCCTAAGGGCACTGAGGAAATGTCCCAGCACCCTGCAGGAAATATATGCAAATTATCATCCACACCATCCAAAGTACTGCCTTATTCCATAGGGACAATGGCTCCAAGTCATTGCTGACAAACTTAATGCTGGACATGATGAAAAGGTGACAGAGCACACTGTTCATTCCTGTTTGCTGCGTATAGCTGCAGACCGGTCAGAGTGCCCATGATTTCCCCTGTGCACAGCCAAAAGTACCTTCCATGGAGATGTGAACATCAGAAATGGACCTTGGAGAAATGGAAGAAGGTTGTCTGCTCTGAACGTTTTCTTCTAGATGTGGCATTTATACTTTGACACATACAACCTACCTAGAGATTGTTGCAGAGTACACCCATTCATGGCAGTGATGTTCCCTTATGGCCTCTTTCAGCAATATAATGCACCATGCCACCCTGTATCAATTTTTCAGGAATGGTTTGAGGAGCATGACAAAGTTCAAGGTGTTAAATTGGCCTCCAAATTCCCCAAATCTCAATAAAATTGAGCATCTGTGGGAAATGCTGGAACAAATCTGATCCATGGAGGCTCCACCTCACAACTTGCCGGACTTAAAAGGATCTGCTGCTCATGTCAGATACCACAGGACACATTCAAAGGTCTTGTAGGGTGCATGCGTCGACACATCAGCTATTTTAGAAGCACAAGGGGAAGGATTTACACAACTTTAGTCAGGTGGCTTTAATGTTGTGGTTGATCAGTGTATATCTGTAAAGCTCTGTTCAATATTTTTGTATAATAATTCTTGCAGTTGTGTATGATATGGAATTAAATTGATTATATTGAACTGCTCTGAACCATTACAATGTTTATAGGGTGCCAAAAAGCTATTGCTGTTATCTGTCTGCTGATAGTAAACCAACCCCAAAGTTAGGAGAATTGTCATTTTTAACATTGAAGTCATTTTGTTTCTTCCTAATTGCAGACCATTTGATGCTAAAAATCCGTTCCTTGCTAATGTCTCTGTTAACCGCAAACTGAACCAGGGTGGGGAGAGACACTTGATGCATCTGGAGTTGGATATCACAAATTCAAAGATTAGGTATGGTGCCTGGTTAAGTGGAGAATGTGTCCACTTTCTTGCTCACGTTTGTTTTACAATCCATTGTGTTAGATTAACAAGAACATTTCTAGTCCCTAGATTTCCTATCCTTTCCATTGTCAGTCTTCTGTGGTTCTTTACATGCTGTATTAAATAACAGAGCAGTAGAATGTATATGTTTCCAGAACAAAGAGATAATGGAATGTAGTACTCTATTTAAAGATAAATATCTTAGCAGCAACAAAACTTTTCATGTAATTTTATAATCGTATCAAAAATCCATGTTTATTATGTCCAATCAGATGCCTATTACTCCTATTGTTTTTTTTTGAGAAGCACTCCCTAACACTTTGAACTAAAGTTGAAAGTGAGTGAGAGAGTAAACAGAACCGTTAAATACAAATTTATTTTTGCACAATGCTGTGTATGGTTGTGTTCAAAGTGTGATTTTAATATTTCTGTATCCATACCTGTAGGTATGAGTCAGGCGATCATGTTGCTGTTTACCCATCTAATGAATCTTCACTTGTCAATAAGTTTGGAGAGATTCTGGGAGCAGACCTTGACACTGTCATATCTTTAAACAATCTGGATGGTGAGTTCTGTGAATTTGTCTATTTTAAGCTGTCCCTTTCCACTACAATCAAAGTCTGAAGGCCACATGTTCTAGACACAGTGTACCTCTCTGGGATGATCTGAAAACCATTGTGTACGGTTTGTGATGTCTGTACTGACTCGTGCACAGAGTGGAATGGCTTGGGTGAAAAAAAAAAAAAGGGGGGGGGCATTTGTCATGCTCAAAACTATTTGGCTTTATTTTGTTAGGGTATACATTGTGCTTGTAGTTTTTCTAGCAAATATATAGATCTAGAAAAGTTATTTTAAAATTGTTTTTTTTCTTCCATCTGTCTATAAAAATTTCATAAATGCCAAAGAATTGATTGAATAGGAGAGCAGAAGAGACCTTCCACAAGTGCGCTATGTTAGCATAGCGCTATGTTAGCATAGTGCACTTGTGGAAGGTCTCTTCTGCTCTCCTATTCAATCAATTCTTTGGCATTTATGAAATTTTTATAGACAGATGGAAGAAAAAAACAATTTTAAAATAACTTTTCCAGATCTATATATTTGCTAGAAAAACTACAAGCACAATGTATACCCTAACAAAATAAAGCCACTGGCTAGGGAGTATAACCGACATCACGCTGTTGGCGTCATGGATGAAGTTTGCTGTACATGGTGGAAGAGTTCTCAAAAAGTCAGTGAAGACTGCTGGAGGAGCAAGGGCGGACCCACCTCTTTAATGAGATTGCCACGTTAAGTGGTGACTGCTTCCCTTTAACCTTCCCACTGCAATAAATTAACCTTTACTCTTATAGTATGATCTGTGCACCCACAGTGATTAAATGGATTTATACTGTCAGAAACCTGTAACAGTACAAGCAATGCAGATTTTTATTAGGTTTGTTTTATATGAGTGGGTCAATACATTGTTTTAGAAGCTGTATTAAAGAAACTGCCCATTTAAAAAAAAAAAATAATTTAACATTGCTTTTTAGTGGATATAACCCAAATGAAAACATGCTTGCATTTAATTATGTTTTTTTTTTTTTCTGTTATTGGGAATGTATCTAAAAACAGATGGCAAAAACGGCAGATATTTTATTTGCAGCATTTGCAAGCCCTCCTTCCCAGCTCAGACTTTCTGTGGCTGTTCAATCCTAGACTTCTCAATGAGAAGTCTTTGCAAAGTGAGTACGAAGAGCAATTGCCGACTTCTGTGAGTTTAGCTCAACTGAGCTAACCAAACCAGGAAGTAATACAACCTGTTTTCTGCCTGAAAGCAAGGAGTGTTAGGTTACTTTATAAAAGTGTTAATTAATACTAAAATCTGCACTTTTTGTAAAATAAATAAGACACACTATTCACACAAAGCAATTTTTCAGCAAGCTTGTGTCCCTTTAAAAATAAATCTGTTACCAAAAATATAAAATTAATATAAATACACCAAGATACACATTATCAGATTCTATAAAGCAAATTTACTTAATTCGGGTGCTTTGTTTGAATGTTTTTCTAACTTTCTTTGCAGAGGAATCGAATAAGAAGCATCCATTTCCCTGCCCTACAACTTACCGCACTGCACTCACCTACTATTTGGACATCACCAACCCACCTCGCACCAATGTGCTTTACGAGCTAGCACAGTATGCAACAGACTCCAAAGACCAAGACCATCTGCGTAAAATGGCTTCATCTGCTGCTGAGGGCAAGGTGAGATGTCAATCTTGAGCAGGACACTACAGGGTAGTCAAACTAGTGAGGCACTCCATACCTAATTTTTAACACCTGTCAAGTACCCTGATAAACCCTATTAAATAGTTTATTGAAGTGTACAATAGAGACCGCTATGAAACAAGTATAAAAGTGATATAAACACAAATACTACAAATCACTTCCCAAAAACCATAAAATATATTATATACACACAGCCACTCTAAAAAAAAATTTAAAAAGAAAAATAAAGAAATATCTCAAGTGTTACCAAAATACAATTCGATGCCGCTTAAAAAACAATTTTGATATGTGAACCCTTGTGAGTTGCAAAGTCTTTCTTCTTCCCTTAATTTCACTCCCTCTACTGTTCTATGTTCATTCACACCCACTACAGTGTAAGAGTTTTCTGCTCTGCTCCAGTCCTCCCGCCCCACCACCTGCTCCCTAGATCCAATTACCTTGCCTCTCATTTGTACTCTGTCTTCTTCTTTCTCCACCTCTCACTAAAATGCTCAATCTCTCTCTCTCCCCTCTGGCATATTTCCATCGCCCTTCAAACATGCAACTATAACCCAAATTCTAAAGAAGCCCAACCTTGACCCTAACTCCCCATCCAACTACCATCCTGTTTCACTACTGCCTTTTGCATCCAAGATCCTTGAAAGAGTTGTGTATGCGAGTTTGACAGACTTCCTCAAGTCCAACTCTCTGCTAGACCTGCTTTAGTCTGGTTTTCACGCTAAGGACTCTGTGGAAACGGCACTGACCAAAGTATTCAATGATTTACTCAATGCAAAATCTCGTGGTCACTACTCTATCCTAATTCTCCTTGACCTTTTGCGCCTTTTGACACTATTGATCATCAACAGCTTCTTCTCATCCTCTGCAATATCGGTCTACAACAGCTTGACAATTTTTTGGGGAATCTAGGAGCCAGCTAAAAAACGTTAAAAGTTTTTTTTTTTTTTTTTTAAAGGGGCACTAAAATCACCAGAACCACTACAGCTTAATGTAGTGGTTCTGGTGCATGTAAGCCTGTCCCTGTAGCCTTTTCAATGTAAACACTGCATTTTCAGAGAAAAGGCAGTGTTAACATTGCTGGCTACTCAGACGGCCACTAGAGAGTCCTGTGTCAGTTCTCTGTATGGACGCGCTGAATGTTACCCTATGGGAAAGCATTGGCTTAGCTGAGATGAACTCTGCAGTGGAGGCGGGACAAGCCACGGCAAAACCTGCACAGCGTGGGGGAAAAGGGTAAGTAAAAACACCAATCGTGATCGCAGGTACCTAAATAGACACACACTCTCTGACAGACATACACACGCGCGCGCACTCTGACAGGAGCACGTGCACGCACTTTCTCAAATACTCATAAATTTAAAAAAAAAAAATGTATTTTAATCCACCCAGCCTCCCTTCCTTTGGGAGAGATGAGTGGACTTTCACTGGGGTCCAGTGGGGCTGCTCTCTCTTCCTGTGTGAGAGGGAGCAGTAATCTACCATGCAGCTCCTCTCTGCGGCCTGTGATGCCGGGGCCGGAATGATGTCATATTACGTCTCCCGGCCTCATTAAACAGTGCGAGGGAGCAGAGAGGAGCAGTTGGAAGATCACTGCTCCCTCGCACGCTGCCCCAGCCAACCGCCTTGATGCTCCATTGAGCAGGACGCATACATGAAGCTCCTGGCGGCCTCCTACAGCGCTCACTGAGCCGTCCGCCTACAGCGCTCACTGAGCTGCTATCCACATGCTCCTGCGGGTGGATGGCCAGCTCCTTTATTTGCCCAGCCGGGCGTTTTAGAGAAAAAGCTGACAAATCTCAGGTGCCATCTATACTGCCTCCCTAGGTAAATTCATTAGCTCATTTGGCATTTTCATGCAAATCTATCTGTACTCTCCCCGTCCCTCTTGACTAGTGTCTCTGCTATTTCAAACTGAATGGCTGCCCACTTCCTTAAACTCAACTCAACTTAACCAAAACTGAAATTCTGGTCTTTCCTCCCTCAAGTGTTGTCTGTCTCCTTCCAAGTCAACTGTGCTGCTATCAGCTCCACCACGCAGGCTCACTGACTAGGTGTTCTCTTTGACTCCGACCTCTCCTTCAAGCCTCATGTTCAGTCTATCACCAAATCCTGCCGCTTCCATCTCAAAAACATTGCGCTCATCCAACCCTACTTAATGACAGATGCGACTACGGTGCTGGTCCATTCCACTGTCCTTTCTCGCTTTGACTACTGTAATCCGCTTCTCAGTGATCTTACATGCTCCCAACCTGCGCCGTTATAGTCCATAATGAATGCGGCGGCGAGGCTCATCTTCCTGTCCGCCTGCTCCTCCCACACCTCCCCCTTCTGTCAGTCCCTACATTGGCTTTCTGTAAGATATATAGGGCTTCTTTTAACATTTTGGTTCTTGCTTTCAAATCTCTACATAATGCTGATCCCACCTATCTATCCTCTATAATACACAAGTATGTCCCGTCTAGGCCCTTACGCTCTGCTGAAGACTTACGGATATCTTCTGTCCGTACTCCCACCTCTGATGCTCGCTTCCAAGACTTCTCACGGGCTGCACCGTTCCTGTGGAACTCCCTTCCCTCCTCCATTAGATGCTCACCCAGTCTTCATTCCTTTAGCAGGACCCTCAATCCTTCTGTTCCTGTGTGTCCAACTTGTCTGGTTACAACTACATGTCTGTTCGTCAACCCACTGTAAAGCACTGCTGAATTTGTTGGCGTTATATGAATAATAACATAATAAGGAAAATGCCCACAGTGACAGGTTGGCTAGAAACAGTCCAATGCCAAAAGTAACCAACATGTGGTCAGAAATAAAAAAATTAAATTAAAATCCTATATCTATGGTTTTTGGCCGTTTAGCAGACTTTAAGACTTGTGCAGTGCATAGTATCTGGTATAAGGTGGTTCACATACATAGCAGTCCCAGAGTGCAAATGCAGTTAACTCTAAATCACTTACTCATTTAAAAGGGAAACTACTCTGTATGGGCAAACCATGTTTAAAGAGCAGATTACAAAATTATAAACCCATTTAAAAGGATCACGCTCATATAATTTATACAAATTATAAAATTAACCAATTTTTCTCCTAAAATAGTTATTTAACAATACACAATATATGTAAGTAAATATGGATGTAGACAAACTAACCTACAAGGCATGATATTCCAATACTTCCTTTAAGTCCCTAAGGCAAGTATGTCAAACTCAGTCTAGCAAGGGCCAAATAAATGAGGTTCATGTTTATGTGGGCCGCAAAATAAACTTAAATATTTATAGAAACGTAGGTTTCTTTTGAAAAGTACAGTATAAAAAACCTCCCAGTATCCCCCTCTACTAAATCCCAGTCCCCCATATACTAAATCCCAGTGTCCCCCTCTACTAAATCCCAGCAACCCCGTCTAGCTAACAAGCAGACTCCACTCACATTGCAGTGCAGAACAATCTTGAGTATCTGTTTGTTTATTTTGGGGGTGGAGGGGAGAAAATTTTTAGTAGGTAGATATTTAAAGATGAACTGCGAGAATGACAGACATATGTCCCCCACTACCATCTCACAGACTGTGGATTGAGATCAACAGTAAATGATGCAGTGTCCTTCTTAAGTTGCAGACTTCTTGTGCAGCCATAGGCAAGCTATTGTAAACATTCATGGTATACATTTAAAGCAAACTCAATGTATCTCGTTTAAACATACTACATTGTAAAATGTTTTAGTGTAACAGTTATGCATAACAATAAAACACAATTACAATTTTTTCAATTTTTTTTTTTTTTTTTATATACACACACACACTCTTACAAATTCAAAATGCTGAGCGCCTATAAAAAAATCATTGGGTTAGAAGAATAGATGAGAGGGCAGAGAGTTACGGGGACTCTTATCCTCTTAAATAAGGGTCACTTGGGTGGTATGAATATTTTGTGAGGTATATCTGTTGGGACAAGCACGTTGTACTGTACCTGTACTTCTATATTTATATTAATCCATTGTGGTGGTGGTGTTGGTGATACTAATGGTGCTGAAGATGTTCTTTGACATGAGCAGTTATCAAAGTTACATACTGAATCCAAAATGGTTTCTCTTTTAGAGACACGTTTTTCAGTATCTTGGTCATTCAGTACACTGTCTGTTTTCTGTCCTGTGGTCTTGTATTATTTATTTCTATATTTATTTATTTTTTTGTAGGCTCTCTACCTTTCTTGGGTTGTGGAATCGAGAAGGAATATTTTGGCCATACTGGAAGATGTTCCATCTTTGCGTCCCCCACTTGATCACCTTTGTGAACTGTTGCCACGTCTGCAAGCCCGTTATTACTCCATTGCTTCTTCCTCAAAGGTAAGAACTATTGTGCATTATTTTGTAAAAGCAGTGCCTGCTGCTGGTCTGTGCAGCTCGCATTCAGTCTACAATCCTTTTTGTAAAATGATGTTTCAAACATGTAAAACCTAGCATGGCAACACTGGGATCCCTAGATACTTCCCATATTGCTCAGTGGTGCATATGGTTTGTCTGTGCACCCCTGTTATTTAGCAACATTTGATAAAAAATTCTAATTAATTTTGCAGACCTAAAGCTTACTCTGCGGTTTAATTGAAATCTACCGCTAAATTACACATAAACCTAATTAAACTATTCAGAAGTTATTTTAGAACTTAATTAATCTGCAAAAATATTATGCAAGGAAGCTCACGCCATAAGAGAGTAAAACAGTCTGTCAACAGTTCCCTTTGATTTAACCTGTTTTAGTCTAGCAAATTGATTTTTTGAGCTGGAAGATTTGATTGCACGTTGCTACAATTTGCCTCCAAGTCACGAGAGAAGGAAGTAAAACTGTCATCAAAATTTGTGTAGAGCCATTTGAAGGGTTTACACAGTGTTGGTTATTTACTTAACTAAGAATTCAAAGTGAATTCAGTGAATTTAAAATAGAAGGTCAGCGTAGCCAAACTGGAAAATTTTCCAGTTTGATTATTTTGACCTTAATTTCAAAATTCGATTTGAATTCTCATATTGGTAAATGCCCATGTGTGTCCAGATGAAAACTGATAAAAATAAATAAAATAACCCGGAAAACAGATGGTTTTGTCTTGCAGGCATATATATTTCCATTTGCACTATAGTTAAATTTATACGTTTCATTTAAATAAAAAATAGAAAGAATGCATGAATAAAAGTGAAACTCTGACTAAAGTGATCAGCACAAAATGTTTGATCGAATTGATCATTTATATGAAGGTAATAAATTTGTCTTCCGTTCTCTCATGAAACTTACCCATATGTGTCTTGTGGAAAAAAGTTTTGTTTTTGTGTTTTGTTTTAATGTATTGGCTTGTTTTATTTCTTTTCTTTTTCTGACGACAAATATAATCTTTAGGTTTTTCATTTTTGAAACATTATGCCATTTATGCTTCCTTTATTTTTGTGTAGGTCCATTCCAACTCTGTCCATATCTGTGCTGTGCTTGTGGAGTATGAAACAAAGACTGGTCGGAAAAACAAAGGTGTGGCCACAAACTGGCTGAAAAACAAGCAGCCTTGTGACAATGGCCACAAGTCTACAGTGCCCATGTATGTACGCAAATCTCAGTTTCGGCTTCCATTTAAACCCGCCACACCGATCATCATGGTTGGGCCTGGCACTGGCATAGCCCCCTTTGTTGGTTTCATCCAGGAGAGAGAGTGGCTAAAGCAGCAAGGTGAGCAGGGGTTAGAAGTAAATTGGAATGGGGTTGTCTTATTCTGCCCTGATTTTGCTTACTACTGGCCTAATCTATCTAAATCGTTGGCAAGGGTATGTGAACCAAGGAAGTGAGCTACACAATAATTGCAGTAAAAACAAACTGCTTTTTTAGAACATGAGAGACTGTTCCTAAACAGAACACAGGCCATACATCACGATTACAGAAGCAAGTGTTTTCACTTTTAACTCTTTCTTGACAGTCTGTTGGACAAATCCGATTATATGTGGACAGTCCTTTGTGCATGATATGTCTTTAAGGGGGTTAATGTTGATTACCTGCTTGATTTAGATGTGTTAAACCGTAATTTATTTATTGGGGGTTGCCTTTATGTGCTTTTAGGTGTTATAAAATTCCTTAGTTTCCATACAACTTCCATCATGTCATACTGCACTGGTTAAAGTTAATTTTTTTTCGTTCCCATTGGCATATTTAATTTTGGTTTGGGCTATGTTATTTAATGTATGGAGAATTATGGAGCAAAACACTTGTTTTATTATCAGCGAGCCTGGACCTAGAGGAAAAATATGAATGATTATTTAAAACCTTATCTTTCCCAAACCTTTTTTTTTTATTTTTTTTTTTAAATCTCCGTTAATACAAGTTCTTGATTGCCCATGCAAGGGCATCAGCAGAACACTATCTGCCAATGAGCTAAAGCTAAGCAATGCACCTCGAAGCTTGGCTCTGGCAGAAAGCTTCTGTCTTTCTGGCAGTAGTAGTGCAGACAGGTAGTGTCTCATAAGAAGGCAACCTGTTCTAAAATGCCAGAGCACTTCTGGCACCATAACCACTAATGCGCAGATATGTTTAGAATGTTCCTTTAAAGTACAATGGGATATTATTATTACGTTTATTATATTGGTAATTTTCTGTGCATTAAATTGTGATGTACATTTCAGGCAAGGATGTTGGAGAAACTGTTCTGTATTATGGATGCCGCCATGAACATGAAGATTACCTTTACAAAGAAGAACTGGCTCGGTTTCACAAGGAAGGTGTTCTTACTCAGCTCAATGTGGCCTTCTCCAGGGACCAAGAAAAGAAGGTGAGGTCACAATGTGCCATATTACACATTTCTTCATATTTGAGTAGAAATGGTTATGGATCGCATCACAATGGTCACTCTTGTCAATTTGGTAAAAAAAAAGCTTGGAAGATGATGGTACACTATCAAAGAAGATGCTTGGTAAAAACCATTTAGCCAAACGTCACCAATCCGCTTTTAATTAAAATTTAGTTTTATTAATTTTCCAGATGTTCTAGCAATACTATTTTAAATGACTGCAGTCCCTAGTATTTGATATGCCATAGAAATTGGTAATGAGAAACACATAAGATCATGCTTTAGTGTTTGTTAAAGGTAAATGTATTGAGCCAAGTATTGCTTGCCTAAAACAGTGTTTTACCTCCTTTATAGTTGGGGAAACACCTTTAATCCCACTTAATGAAAATATGCTTTGCATGGCATTGCATTGTGATTCAGTTGTATAGTTTAGTTTTTCTTTTTTTGAAAATTTGTATTTTGTACAAATATTTGCAAGTATAAACACTCTCTTTACTTTCTCCTGTAGGTTTATGTTCAGCATCTTCTGAAGAAAAATAAAGAACATGTGTGGAAACTGATCAGCGAGGATAATGCACACATTTATATTTGTGGGTTAGTATAAAACTAAAGTTCAACTTCTTCCTATGCAAACCTGGGTAGCATCTCGGTGTACGGCACACAGTACACACCGCATTATTTTAAATGGTAGACTAGTCATTCACTTATATCTAGCCAGCTACATCCATCTATACACGCCATAGATGTCCTCGCTAAATCTTGGTTATGTCCATAGAGGGTTATGTCGTTGATATACTGATTTCTACAAAGGCTGCTGCAGATATTTTTTTTTTGCTCTTTGTCAGAGGAATATAAGATCAATGTCACTTTGTTCTGTACTGGTAAGGAAGCCAGTGTGTCTGTGTCATGAGTGGGTTATTCCTGATTGTTTAGCAAAGCCAATTGTGTCAGTGGGTGGCAGGAAGGAAGAGGAACAGGGAGTGGGTGTTGTATAAGTGTAATGTCCACGAAACTTTGATCAAGGTGGTTAATTATTGATAACCTAACACTTGGCAATAAATAAAGTGTCATAAAGATACAAAATGAACCTGTAAAGACAGGTTCACTTTAAGCTGGTTATCTTAGAAACTGGAATGTTCAAGTTCATGGTACATTTTAAGAATCCAATGATATCTGAAAGTGCAGTGGACTGTTTGTCAGGGTTCAGAAGTCATTATTTTGCTTTGTTGAATGCAATGTTAACTTAACGGGAAAGTCAACTTAAAGCATCCTAGCTAGTTATTAAAGCCAATATTCACAATGGATATTCTGAATGTAGAATTTGCATGCTATTGCCTTCACAAATATATTCGGTATGTGTTTATATATGAACCTCCGTTAAGATGTCTTAATGATCCCCGCTACCCCTGGAATCACATACATATAGTATACAGAGATGACAAACTGTATATTGGCTGTTGATTATTTATTCTTTTCTTGCAGTGATGCCCGGAATATGGCCCGTGATGTACAGAATATTTTCTATGAAATTGTTGCAGAGTACGGTAAAATGGAACATGCTCAGGCAGTGGATTACATAAAGAAACTGATGACCAAGGGTCGCTATTCTCAGGATGTCTGGAGTTAATCGAAGCAGTGTGTCTCTGCTAGGTGGACAATGTAGAGATGGCATGAGCTGCTGTCTAGGACGCCCTGCATGAGCCGATTCTTGGACTGTTTATGGAAAAATTATAAATGCCTTTAGTGCCGATAACCATTCTGTGTTTTTGTTTTTTGAGGAAAAACTGATTTTTCTTAATCCCTCTGCTGATTCTCAGAGGGTAGTAGGGAAGAACTATAATCCATTCACCGTTTGAACTGTAACCATTGCCACCATCCCAGTCAAAATAGTCATTATGATCTTTGTGATGAAAAGGATTTTTATTCTTGTAACCCTCATTTTTTGGTGTATTTCTGTCAAGGTGTTGTCAATCAAAATGTTATTTTGATACTGCAATTGTCATAAATTCTAAGTTCTCAGTGTTTGTGTAACTTAAAGGCCAGTGTATGAGAAGTCAGATTAATCCCTGCCAAACAGCCTTTGACATGATTTAAAAGAGGATGATTGATGTGCATGCTTTGTGTCCACAGGTCAGTTTCACCTGTGGCACAGTCTGAATATAAATTACCATTGGTAGGATAAATGGCCATAGCTATAGTAAATTCCTTCAATTTTATTAAAATTACCAGTGGTCTTCTCAAGCCTTAATTAGTTAATGGTTTGATACCTAGCCATTAAGGTAAGTATGTTTCTACTTATGTCCTCGCTTTGGACAATGATCGAATTTTCTATCAAATGGCGATTATCCTTCTAATGCATCCGCTATTATGCACATGACAAGTCTTCGTTGCCTACCTAAATTAATGCAGTTGTCAAATAGATATCAGCGTAGTGTATTTACATAAGAGGGCATATCTGATGGCACTAGCTATAAGTGGAGACATGTATATACACACAAAGCACCTCTATCCTGGTAATATTCTGTGTGAGTGCAATTTTCAGAATACAAGGTGACCATAGGAAAACTGCTATTACATTGGCTAAGTGATGGGTAGGATGCTATAACTTACAGAATTTGTGTTCCTTTGACAGTTCTCCAGTTAGTCCCTGCAGATTTGTGTGTCTCCTAAAGCGCAGACTGTGAAATACGTTATTGCTGTCTTTGAGCGTAAATACATTCACATGGGAGGGGACTTTAAGAGTAGGCCCTTTTGGCCTCTTGTAGACCAGTGGAATTGGAAACTATTGTCTAGAGGACAATGTATAAAGGTTTAACTCACACTTCAAGACATATTCTCTTGGTTGGCATTATATTTTTGGTGATGTTTTCCAGAATTCAACCAAATGTAGCTTGTAACATCTAAGATTATTTATTATAGGATTAAGTCTGGATATTTAAGATACAGTATTTGGGTAAAATCTTTGTAATTGTTATTTTAAAGCATTTCCCCATCCTAGAATTCTGGGCTCTTTTATGTTGCGACAATGTATTACCAGAGTGACTTTGGGAATGGGGTGTATTTATGGCAAACTGGCTTCTTTTTGTATTTTAGAATATGATACCATGAGTGCCGGCATAAGGAGAGCTCTGTATCGCTTAGCAGAGAGAGTCCGTTTTGACACTCCTGGATCCTAATGTCTAATTTGAACTATCAAAACAGTTATTGTTTATAATGTACTGGTCATGGTAAACCTGAACTAAATTTAAGAGCATTAAATGTAAGCTATAGATTGTGGTTGCAAAAATGTATGTATAGATTTTAATTTAAATCTCTTTAAAAATGTTTCCCACTTGTCAATCATTTCTATCTGCTTTGAGTTCTATGGTGAGTATACTCCTATAGGATGTTCTCCATGTTAGTTATTCCCCCAAGTAATTACAAATGAAGTGGCTATTGCTCTGTATTAATGCCAATGTAAAGCCATGTTGGCGTAATCAGGGAGGATTGGCTCTGCTTGAGGACACTTCCCCAAGCAAGGCAATCACTGTGCTGAGGTGGAGGGAGCAAGGAAGACCAATGTGTAGTGGAACACCTATGGAGTTTCCAGGAATAGGGTTGCTGGAGTAGGAGGCAGCAGGCAAGAAAGTGTGTGACAACTTTTAAAGCAATTCAATATAAATCTAATGATATATTGGTTGTTTTGAGATTTATACGGTTAGTTGAACCTTGCACAAAGTGTTTACTTAACCCTTTAAGGACCAAACTTCTGGAATAAAAGGGAATCATGACATGTCACACATGTCATGTGTCCTTAAGGGGTTAAAGTAGTTTTGTTATGTGATATTGAGGTCATTGTTACTCTATAAAATACAATCATTCCTATATCTAGCACAGGGTTGGGCAACGTTCAGATGTGGACTACATGTCCCCTGATGCTTTGCGAGCATTATGGAGAGGTAGTCCACAACATCGGGAGTGCTGAAGGTTTCCTACCCTGAACTATAATGTACATATCTCACTGATGACAGCTTTGCTAAGATTTGTTCTGCAACAGTTGCAAGGCCAGGTTTAATAATACCTTAAGATGAATAGCTTGTATGTTAAGTAATAGAGAGATTATATGGGACATGCCTTTTGCTGCTGCAAGAAAACCTGATTTAAGAGATGGAAAGCAGGTAACAAAAAGACAGGAGAAAAGTAAACCTAACAGTGACCCATTTAAGTGATAAAATACAGCATTCCTTGGGGAATTAAAGTAAAAATAGACAGATTCCATAGTTTGTTATACATGAAAGAGTCTCCAGATGTGTGTGTTTTTTTTTAATACAGGTTGAATCATGTGGAAGCATTACTGTCTCTAACATTTTGATGGTTAATACACACAGATCTGGCATTGAAAGATTACATATTTACTTATGTTTTCTTGCACCATGTACATTCAGATTTTTAATGGTTTCCTTCCCTTTTCAAAATAAAAATTTTAAGAAACAATGTGTTACACAAGATTACCATGATTGTAAATAATTTTAAATACATATTAATCTTTGAAATAAACTAAACATTTCCAATTCATTTCGCCTAAACTTGTGTTTTGCCTTTTTTTTTTTTTTTAGTTTTTTTTTTTTTTTTTTGGAGGAGGGGGTTATATTTTGGTAAACCGCATTAAAGTAATGGTGGACATGAAGAAAAAACAAAGTATAGAAAATGAAAGTAGTGGAGTAGGAGGTGCAGTGTCACTGACCACCATATTTTAGGAAATGCTGACATGATTTGAAGGGTAATTGGTTAATGTTTGTCCATCTGCATCCTCCCCAACCCCAACTAGCTACCCTTCAGACAGCATGAAATCTATTTCAAGGTGGTATTTATCAATTTTGTTTTTGTTTTGCACACATAATGCAGAACTTGAGCTTGTCATGCTGTGGATCTTGGCTGCTTACAGTTTATGGACATGCACCATCCACATCTACTGGATAGGTATCTATGGAATGAGAATAAATCCCACAGACCAGAATGAAACACTCCCGACTGGATCATCTCCACCTGGAGTGGGAGGAGTATGCAGCTGCACATAGAGTAGACCCAATTAACATTGATTTGGCTGTAACGAATTAGATATGTAGTTAGATATGAGGTTTTTTTTTTTATTTTTTATTATATTTACTTATTTTTTCAATTCTTTTTCTTCAACCATATGAAGCAAGGCATATAGCAATGTACTACTAGAACAACAAAGCTCCCCATTGAGAAGAACAGATCTTATTAGATGATATACACATCACATGGAAAGAGGCATTTATTGTTAATTGAATATTGGCATACTCTTACATTGGGTCATCTTAAACATGTCAATAGGTGGCAGCTTTTTATTGAAAATACTATTGGTAGTAAGGTATAAACTATAGTAGTAAATGGTGGAGATTCATAGATCGTGGGGGTATAAGTATATCCATCTGAGTGGTCTGCAAGCTTCTGCCCCATGAGATGGGTATTGGAGAAATACTACTTTCGCGTCACTTATGGATGCAAACTGCACTGCCATGAATAACCATGCTTCCAGTGGTAAGGGTCCTAAAATAGGAAGCATGCTTCCCCGATAAGTGAGCAAATACCGTGCTAGCCATTGTGGACGCATACACAGGTTAGTCTGAGAAAATGCATGCACTGTGAGCGCATTCGGCTCTCCCCTGAATGCTTTCCTATGGGGATTTCACAAACACTGGATGTCCTTGTCCAAGGTGTGCAGACGTCCAGCATCATTTAGGCGACCAGAAGTCCATTAGGATCCTGGAAGCTCCTGTAATGGTTATTTGACAGCCAGTAGAGGTAGTCTTAGTCCTGCAAAGTAATTATTGAAGTTTCTCTAAAACTGCAATGATTTATATTGCAGTACTAAATGGGACAGGCATACCGTACCCAGACCACTTCAATGAGCTGAATTTGTCTGGGTGACTATAGTAAACACTAAAGGATAAAAAGCAGGAAAGGGGCAGTGCAACCACTTATAGTTCACTAAACCGTGCTACCACAATTTATTGAAGGAGCAAAACTTACAGTAGCTTAAGTTTCAAGTATCACTCTTCTTTAATAAATCTTGTCCTTAATACTTACCAGAATATATAGCAGAATATGTGAAATAATTAATCCTAATCCCTCCCACAGTGAAGAATATAGGTGTGGTTTACATCAAGCCACCATGTTTGCTTATTCTGCTTGCATTTTGCATCTAAACCTCCAACCTGTGCTAAATCTACATCCAGTTCCCATTCCACCAACCAAGCAAAGCCAGCTCAACCTGTATGAACCAGGCTTACACAGTTCTCATGCAAACCTGAACAGAGAGGACTCAAAGATAAAGTAGGCAGATTTATCGTGCTTTTGGGAAAAGCACAGAAGTGCAATAACTAATGCCGGAAGCTGCCATTTCAGAGCATGTAGTTAGTTACATGTCTGCTCCCTGAGTTTTAGGGCACACACTAGAATCACGTACTTAAACTGATTGGTTCTCAGACAATTACTGACCAAAGTGAATATAGACAACATAACATTTTACCTCCACTCACTTGGATAATCACAGGTTTTTCCATAGGGTTTCACACCGGTATCATTTCACTACCAACAGACGTGAATGTCAGAACTTGCAATCTGCAATAAATGACCCTCCCATAGCAGATGCATTAATTCTGAAAGAGTTACACAATGGTTTTATGCTGGGTCCTTACACTCATCACCCATTTTTATGAACCCAAATCTAATTGGGGCCAATACAAGCCAGTGTCTTAAAAATCTGTTCATACATAGGACACGAGGTCACACATTTGGACTGGAAGAAAGAAGCACCTACATGTCATTCAATAAAAAGAGGGAATAACTTTTTTTTTTCTACTCGGCTCACTTTCTGGGTCAAGATCAGTCCTAAATGATCTGATGTTTGTGCTGAAACCCTCCATTGGCTTCTCAATATTATCAGATACTCAATAGTGATTTGCTACCTGGACAATTTTTTTGGCAGTAGAGAAAGGTTAACACCCCTCGAGAACATTTTCAGTATTGCTGCCTTGATCTCTAAAGTAGAGATCCCATTACAAAAGGACAAGATTAGAGGCCACACAACCAGTCTGCTTTTTCTTGGCATGCATTTGGACTCTACTTTAATGCAGTACATTTTCGTTATTCAAGGTGCCTATTCACGCAGGGATCTTCAGTGGGTTCACTAACTTTTGCCATGTGCATAATCCCTCAGGGTCAATCATTCATTTTACAGCGAGTCTGCCTCTTGCCAGGTCTTCCTGATGATGACAACATCGTCTCACTCCGTCTCCAAGTTCAGGCAAATGTATTTATGTGGCATGAGTTTTTACTAAAATGGAAGGGGAAGATCATGTTCAATCCCCCTTTGGACAGATGCTGCAGCCTATACTGGCTTTGCAGCTGTATTTGATGATACATGGTTCAGAGACGTGGCTCATGAGTCAGCCCACCATTATTTCAGGAGACCTCAGCCCTCTTTGAGGTTTACCCCATAGGAGCAGCAGCTCATCCCTGGGGTAATTTATGTCAAGGGCAAGCAGTTAAATGCTACTCTGACAACATGGAACCAAAGTCCCAGCCTTCAAAGATCTTATACTGGACTAGTCCATCTAATGGCCGATAGCAGGTTGTTAGCATAAGGTGCCCGAGCTGCAAGAACTCAAAGAAAATAAAACAGAGCTCTGACTATATTCAATAGATAAATCACGACTTTCAGATTACAGAGTCTTGTACCATCACGACTTTGGTGGTGTTCTTAAGCTACCACATACTATAAAACTTTATCTGACAGACATTCTACATAACTGCTTTTCCTAATTACAAACTATTCAACATACTGTAGACCATCCTATGACACAAACAAAAAACTATTGACAGGCCTAAATTCAGAGTACTAGAATTTAGCTAGCCACCCATTCTGAACGCACACCGATCCAGTAATTAACGCAGCCATATATATATAGCCTTTTGCAGCTTCTTACGGCCAGAGGCATTTACTATAGAAACATTATAGGAGTCTAAAAATCGAAGATCTTCTAAAAATAGGGCATTATTAGATACTCATACTAAGATGCACTAAAACTAGTCAAATGGGTCCTCCGGTAAAAATTCCACTATATCCTACCGACACTAAATAGTGCCCAGTAAAAATTACTTCATCACTACTGTCACAGGTTGTGCAGGGAACACGTCCTTTTTGACCCTATATAATAAACCACTCATGTCAGGCACAGTCAAACCAACTACGTTATATTCTAAGGGGACTCAACTAGTACACTCATGTAGAAATTCCAATATAAACAACTAAAGACTCACAAACCAAATCTCCACAGACCAATAATCCCTTGTGAAGACCTGTGAGAGAAGCCTGACCTAATGAAACATGCCATTACGCTCTGTTTGACCCTCCAAAATGGTGAAAACATTCCGCCTCCATCATATGTGAAACTTTCACATCCAGTAGAGCAAGATATGCGAGTGTAAGATGCTAGAAATAGTGTACAAATCTTGTCCCTGTGGTAAACCCCCCCATATTTATTAAAGTATAGCATCTTGAACACTAGAATGGACAAGTTGAGACAGCTGGAAGAATTGCATTTCCTATATGGATACATGGTCTCAGTGGTTAAGTTCAGCCTACAGTGAGAGTTTCAGTAATGACTGATGTATACCTGAGAGATAGAGGTTAATATTTTGCCCTGAGTCGCCGGCAGATGGTTGGACTGTGGACAGGGGATTGGGAGGGAACTGATAGTCCACAAATACCATTGCAGCCGAAACACCTCACAGAGATGTGGAGGAGACAGTGGGCTCACCTGAGAAATGACATGTACTGTAGTGGTGTGTTGTGTCTTTTTAAAATAAATTTTTACTCCAAAACTACTGTGAAATCAAGGGAGTCATGCATACTCATGAATCCAAGAGATAAAAGAGACCTGCGGATCCTTTGTGCACTAGTTCAAGATAACCAATCGTAATGCACTTTTCAGTGGGGACCTGCAAGTCCCACAGTCACTTGCCATATACACAGGTTTTGGGTCCTGCGAGACCAGCTACAACGATCACAATTTGGAAGCTTTATTTTCCCTTCTGTTAAATGTTGATACCGCCATGAAAAAGAAAACTTGAAACTAAAAATATTTAGCAAAATAACAAGTTATATTGTACATTAGGACTCTTCATAAGACTTGGTTTCAACCCTTCTATATTTACAGGACTTTTAGAATCGGTGCAGCAGCAACGGCTGGATCTAGCATGAATATCCCAGTGAATACAATTAACAGACTAGGATGCTGGAACTCCTCTGTATATCAGAATTACATACCTCAACCAGAGAGAGTTAAGACAAGCATTCAAGAGTTTGGCTTTGTAATTTGTGTGTCTTCTTTATTTACAGGCCTATCCAAACGTCTGTTTTGGCACACCACATATATGCCTATATCTTGTTCTTTGTCCCTGACCACATATTAAGGCTGTGGCCTGGAGTTGTGGGAGGGGTTAAATGGTTAGGGCGGCATAAACAAAAGCAAAAGTGATTTAACTGGAGTAGTGAGACTTCAGGGGCACGATCTATAGTCATGTCAGGCTTGACAGAGGCTCATTTTAGGTTTAAAATGCTGCTTTACAATGTTCCTTAATAAAAGACTGTCTGCTTGGGGAAACTACTAGATGTGTCTGAGCTTCTTTCTATTTTCCATTGGGGCGTGATCTATACACCAAAACTGCTTCCTTAAGCTAAAGTTGCTTTAGTGACTATAGTGTTCATTTAAACTTTAATAGACACTATACTAACATAAATAAAAAAAGACAAACACTCATGTCACCACTTCCCACTACTGACCACAGCAATCTGTATACACGAAGTCTGTAAGTTGCAGAGTGAAAACAGCCAGGAAATCAAAAGCACTATTCCCAGAGTGGTTTATTCATAAACCGGGGCAAAAAAAAAAAATTAACCTAATGTGTTCCCTTCCAGTCCCTTTTAAAAGATAGTGCTCGAAATCCTCTCTCAACGAACTGCATATGCTCCTGTTTAATTTCTGGACTTTGCTTTCCATGCATCTCGCATCGTGCGATCCGGAGAAAGCATGCCCTCTGCTTGCATTCCACTTGTTCTTAAAGGACCACTATAGTGCCAGGAAAACACTCGTTTTCCTGGCACTATAGTGTTAATAGGTCCCCCCCACCCTCATGGCACCCCTCCCGCCGGGCTCTAGGGGGAGGAAGGGGTTAAAATCTTACCTTCTCCAGCGCCGGGCTCCCTCGGCGCTGGGGACTCTCCTCCTCCTTTCAACGTCATCGGCTGAGTGCGCATGCGTGGCAAGAGCCACGCGCGCAGTCAGTCCATAGGAAAGCATTCCTAATGCTTTCCTATGGACGCTGGCGTCTTCTCACTGTGAAAATCACAGTGAGAAGTGCGGAAGCACCTCTAGCGGCTGTCAATGAGACAGCCACTAGAGGCTGAATTAACCCATTTGTAAACATAGCAGTTTCTCTGAAACTGCTATGTTTACAGCAGGCAGGATTAACCCTAGATGGATCTGGCACCCAGACAACTTCATTAAGCTGAATTGGTCTGGGTGCCTATAGTGGTCCTTTAAGCTTGTGTTCCATGCTTTCTCAAGCTCCTATACACCTAAAAACCCTCCATATCAAGTTGAAAAGCAAAAAGACAAAAAACTCCCACATATAAGTGGGGCTTAATAAACCTTACAATTCCAATACTGACTTAATACATTATACTAATATTGGACATTAATAAGGATAAGAATTAAAGATACCACTTCGGCCTATGAGTGCAATGCAATTCTATACATTTCTCTTTTTTTTTTTTTAATGTCTCATGCGCTGTGAAAAAAGTTGGCATTATATAAATAATAATAATAATAATAATAATGTATTTAACCAGGAAAGGTACAGATTACTTTGGTTTTCAAGTACATCCTGGGAATGTTACTACTACCCAATTTAATGGTACTCAAATACCAATAATAATAATAATAATAATGTCTTTAGATATTTTGCATTGAAGTATTTTTGGGGGACTTGGAAGGAGTATTGTGAAAAGACAGAGGAAGATAAAAGTTTATACCTTTTGATGCACTGAATAGTTTAGGGTGTTTGATACATACATAATTGATATAAATAATGGCATACAGAGTTTATTATAAGATAAAAGCCCTAAGTTGTAAACCTATATACCATTCATTTTCAGAACATAATGCTGAACACAAACAGTACTAACATATGCACACATGGTGATCCTTCTGGAACTCTTTATTGGAGAACCAAATATACAGTCAATGGAGTGCAGATTTCTGCATAGAGGTCTTTCACACAGACAGCTGATACAGTTTTTAGTGGGCCCGGGTAAGGAGCACATGAACACTGTAACCCATTTTTACGTTTTGAAATTTCACAAATTGAATAAAATTGTGTTTTTGCATTTTTACATGGTAGACTTAGGATTGTCTCCGTAAAGAATATGGTGTTTTAATGAGACTATTTTGATATATATGTACTATTGAAAAAAAATTATACATTCAAAATCCCTACTCCAACAGGATTACCAATCATGACTTTCTGTAAATGTTCATGGTAATTCAGCAGTAGGTTATGGCCAATAAAGAACTGCAAGAGGCCCTCACTAGTAAGGATGAGTAATATGGATAGAGAGAATTAGACCTCAATATGACACTTTTCTCATCCGATTTCATAACTACTCAACTTAGAGTAGAAGATATTGAACGTCTGGAGAGTCTAGATTATATTGATAAATATGGACCAATGGCAATTGTGGGAGAGAGGTTTATGGATTGTACATAACGGTTCCATTCCAAACAGATTGCAACTTGTGTCATCACTTTGTCTTCTGATCTTCGTTTTGCTTCTTTAATTTTTGGTGGACAACACGTAGGGTGGTAAAGAAATTGCCCAAAAAGTGAATGAGAAATGGAAGGCCACACATGATCACCTGTACACAAAACCAATAACACAACATTAGTAAGCCATTAATAGTTCATCTAACAAAGTGTTTACTATAGAAGGAAAGGTGCAAACAAAAATGCAAAAAAGAAATAAATTAAAAATCCATGTACCACTTATTTAGCCTTTCAAAATATTACCAGGGCGATATACTAAATAGTGACATGTCATCAATTTAAAGTGAATTTCGACTTTAGTCAAAATGAGCCAAACTGCCAATAAAAATAACTTGAAAGTTTTTTTCAAATTTGGCTATTTTGTCCTAAAATTTCAATGCGAACAATTCATACTTTACTGATTAACCCTATATGCAAAATGTGTTATTAAATAATCCTGGATGACTGAAAGCATAATTAGATGTAAAGTAGAACTTAATAGTACAAATATGCAACACTGAACTGTATGTAGCCTACAGAAAAGAGATTCAAGAATGTGGTTAGCAAGCTAGGAAGTGTGAAGAATTGACATGGGAAGTGCAAATATGATTTCCAAAATTTATTTCCAACTATTGCAATCTGTAATGTTTTTACATTCTCAGCAATTTCAAATTTAGTTCCTATAAGCACCTTATATCACCAAGAGAAACAAACAACTAGATTCTTGAGACTTACTATTTGACATATTTTATAAATGCATTTATCATGTCTTCCTCCTGAGGTGTAATTTTTTTCTTTTTATACACAAAACACATAGATGTTTGTAATATACATCTTGGAAAGGAGCTATGTAAAAATCCGTTATATGCATTAAAGCGATACTATAGTCAACAAAACAACTTTAGCTTAATGAAGCAGTTTGGGTGTATAGATCATGTCCCTGCAGTCTCACTGCTCAATTCTCTGCCATTTAGGAGTTAAATCACAAATGTTTCTGATTATACAGCCCTAGCCACACTTACTCTGACTGTGACTGACAAAGCTTGCATGAAAACAAAATGCTTTCATTTCCAATCAGGTGTAACTTACTTTAAAAATTTGTATTTCCTGCTCTGTATATTGAACTATAATCCCTCACAGGAGGGTACTGCAGGGTCTAGCAAGCCATTAACAGTGCAGGAGATACAAAATTCTAAATTAAGCATTAGATGACTCGTTACAGGAAGTGTTTAGGAAGGATATGCAAGTCATATGCAGGGAGGTGTTCCTATGGTTAAATAAACAAAGTTAAACGCCATAATGGCAGAGAATTGAGCAGTGATACTGCAGGGACATTATCTATACACTAAAACTGCTTCATTAAGCTAAAGTTGTTTTGATGACTATAGTGTCCCTTTAATGTAACTAAACTAAGAGGGAAGCCTTACAAATAAAGACACATACTAGAAGAGAGCAAGATTTTAAGGTTGATCATGGAAAATGAAAGTAAATACTATTGAACCAAAAGTATTTTATTATTATGATCAATTGGCTACGTTTATCAAGCTCAATTCATGGGCAACATTCTAAAAAGTTGCTTCCATGGCAACTGCTTCACTTTTAGAACATTTCCAAAGGTGTTTTTTTTTTATTATAAGCATGTTCTGTGTTTCTATTCATCATAAGTAATGCACTGCAATAAACATTTCATGTATGAATTAACAAAGCAACTTTAAGGTATGCGTGTGTTTATATTTAGACATGTCCTGTTAATTATACAAATAAAATGAACGGAGGGTAAACTGGGGGTAACGCATTGCAACCATGCACATTTGATACTCATTGTAGCCTGTAGGTCATGTAACCAAATATATATAGTCCCATCAGTCCATAATCCTAAATTAAAGTGGAGCAAAGACAGCAGAGTGTTAATAGGGCTGGGATGGGATTTGTTTTTTCTTCTGGCCCTAGCTGCAAAACAAGCAAACTAAGTAACGCAAAGGTAAAGAGAATAGAATAGGTTTACTAATACCAACATTACAAGGAATTGTAGGTTCAGTTATTTACCTGCCATTCTTTGCACTCGGGATGCCTGGCAAGCTGGAAGAGTGTGATTGCATTGTACAGCTGCCAGAACTAAAAAAAAACAAAAAAAAAAACAGCCAAACATCAGGGCTATTTAGTGCTACAGAAAGAATAAAGCCACATTTTATTGCCGTATCAAATAGCTCTCTTATTAAAGCGGCCCTCAATTATTACCGTTTACCAAATAAAACTGAACAAGAGACACTTCACTCACCATAATTTGCATGGGATATTTTTTTTAAATCACTGCACTCTTAAGTCCGCAACTTCACTCAAATATGTCATATGAAATATCCTTCTCTGCCTATACAAGTCCTACCT